GCTTTATAAAAGCCCTAGTAAGACCACACCTGGAATATGGCAGCCGGTTTTGGTCACCGTATCACAAAAAAGATTTTGAGAGTTTGGAAAAAAAAAATCAGAGAAGAGCAACTAAGATGATCCAAGGCCTGGAGACTAAAAAATACAAAGAACGGCTGCGGGACTTGGGTTTAGCCAGTCTAAAGAAAAGAAGAAACAGGGGAGACATGATAGCAGCATTCCAGTATCTGAGGGGCTGCCCCAAAGAAGAAGAGGGGGGTCACATTGTTCTCCAAAGCACCAGAGGGCAGGACGAGAAACCATGGTTGGAAACTGACCAAAGAGAGAAGCAACCTGGAATCAAGGAGAAACTTCCTGACAATGAGGACAATTAACCAGTGGAACAACCTGCCTCCAGAAGTCATGGAGGCTCCATCACTGGAGATTTTTAAGAAGAGACTGGACATTCACCTGTCTGAAATGGTATAGGTTCTCCTGCTTGAGCAGGGGGCTGGACTAGAAGACCTCCAAGGTCCCTTCCAGCTCTATTCTACTCTAGATATAAGTGAGGTGATTCATAGAAGACACTTGTTGCAGCAATGTGATCTTGGGGAGCTGCAAGTTGTCCACACCAGGAATAAATCATGGTCTGCAAACCATAACAAACCAAGATCAGCCCCAATGGCCAAGTGACCAGGATGTCCAGTGGAGAAACATGGAGAAATTAGAGGGACTCCAGCTACAACATTCTGAGATATGGGTCCCCTTTGGGTTGTTGAAGAAGAACCAGAGATGTTCTTGATGGAATCTTATGACTGATTCTCTGATTTTCATTCAAGAAAACATTTCAAGCAAGTGAACTTGCTTGAATTCTATGTAAGAACATCTCCGGCCACCAAGTCAATTAAACCAAGATCGCTAAAGGGTAGGAAGAAGCTGCTTGGGATTTTAGTTCTTGATCGTTTATCCGACCTTCCTAAAAGTTGACTGGATCCAACACTCTTATTTCACCTTAGAGGACATCCCAAGTGGGACAACCTGACCCCCACCAATTGTCCATGGAGAATTCTCCATCCTCCAGTTCCTGGTTGTCCCAAAGGGACTTTTTCAAGCGTCAACTGGACTGTCTTGTTTTTTTCTTTGAAGACGTTTTGCTTCTCATCCCAGGAGCTTCTTCGGGTTCTGACTGGATGGTGGGGAAGGGAAGGATTTATACTCCTTGCAGACAGCTGGTCAGTTGCCTTCTTTTGGAGAGTCCTTGAGGCCACCTGGCGGTTCACCTGTGTCCTCAGGGTCACCTGAGGGGTGCAAATGGGTGTGGAGCCTTCTTGGCTGCAGAATGTCTTCTGCCCTGGGTCCCTTCCCTGTTCCCCACCATCCAGTCAGAGCCGAAGAAGCTTCTGGGATGAGAAGTGAAATGTCTTCAAAGAAAAACAAGACAGTCCAATTGCCCCCTGAAAAAAGCAACTTTGGGAGAAGGATGAAAGGGGAAAAGGAGGAGGAGGAGGAGGAGGAAGATGGGAGGGAAAGAATGATAGGAGAGAGAGAAACAGAGAAAGAGAAAAAGAAAGAGAGGGAGGAAGGAAGGAAGGAAGGAAGGAAGGAAGGAAGGAAGGAAGGAAGGAAGGAAGGAAGGAAGGGAGGAAGGTGGTCTGAAATGGTCTAGGGTTTCCTGCTTGAGCAGGGGGTTGGACTAGAAGACCTCCAAGGTCCCTTCCCATTCTGTTATTCCCTGATTCTTGATATTCTGAGCAGCTTGATTTGATCATCCAAGGAATCTTTACTTAAATCTGGGGAGAACCTTATACTCTACAAGGAGTATAAATCCTTCCCTTCCCCACCATCCACTCAGAACCTAAAGAAGCTTCTGGGATGAGAAGCGAAACGTGTTCAAAGAAAAAACAAGACAGTCCAGTTGCCTCCTGAAAAAAGCCCCTTTGGGACCCCCACCCCAATTGCAAAGAGCAAAGGTCAACTGAAGAACTGACTTGGGGGAGCGGGTCTTCAGATCCTCTCCTCCCCAAGGAGGTAGGAAAAACTGAAACTTCAGACTTTGGGGTGCTGGCGTATCCGCAAACTGTCTCTTGTAGCCCTCCAGAAGGTCAAGGCATCAGGCTGTAGCCCCCAGCTTGGGCCACCTGTCCCTTTCTCATGTTCTACCTTCAGGTCCGAGAAGGTGGGGCCCCCTGGGCTGTCACGATGAGAAAGAACAGCTAAACCCCAGCTAAACTCCCTTAAATTCCAAAAAGAAACAATCGGCTGCTTGGGGAAGCGAAAGTAAAAGCTGTATCTCCTCAAGATGCTGCCTCAAGGTCACCCAGCTGGAAAAAGCAGGGGGACGCACCCCAAACAGGGCTTGGACAGACCCGTTAGGAAAGCATCTTTCCCGAACCCAATTGGTTACACTGGGAAGGGGCAACGGGAGACCGTTAAGGGAGGGAAGAATAGAATTCATGGATTTCGGTGCGCGATTCTCAGTTCTGGTTTTGCACTATTACAATACGCTTGATCCCTAATATGTTCTACCTTTCTCAACGAATGGAGGTTAGAGGTTAGACGATGGGGCCCCCTGGGCTGTCACGATGAGAAAGAACAGCTCGACGCCAGCTAAACTCCCTTAAATTCGCAAACACTCACCAAACATGTGTTCTAATTTTGTCTCCATAAACCCGATCACGTTGTCTGCTGCTGGGCACATCTGGAAGGCAAGGGAGGGAGAAAGGAGAGATGGTTGGAAAAGAGCAGCAGATGTGGTTGCAGCTGGACCCCCGGGAGATGGGGACTGGAGGCATCCTCTGAGGCAGATTGATTCATTTTATTTAGAGCAGAATGCAGAATAGCAGACTTGGAAGGGATCTTGGCGGTCTTCTAGTCTGACCCCCCTGCCCAACCAGGAGACCCTACACCATTTCAGACAAATCGTTGTCCAATCTCTTCTTAAAAGCCTCCAGTGTTGGAGCACCCACAGCTTCTGGAGGCAGGTTGTTCCACTGGTTAATCGTTCTGTCAGAAAATTCCTCCTTAGTTCCAGGTCGCTTCTCTCCTGGATTAGTTTCCATCCGTTGCTTCTTGTCCTGCCTTCAGGCGCTTCGGAGGATAGCTTGACTCCCTCTTGTTTGGGGCAGTCCCTGAGATACTGGAAGGCTGCTATCCTGTCCCCCCTTGTCCTTCTCTTCGTTAAACTAGACATACCCAATTCTCGCAACCGTTCCTTCTATGTTTTAGCCTCTAGTCCCCTAATCATCTTTTTTGCTCTTCTCTGTACTCTTTCTATGTTATACGATATTTTATTGAGTTTTAAAAGGTTGGGGGGTGGGGTCACTATAGGTATTGGGGTTCAGGGTAGGGTTCAGGGTTGGGATTGGGATAGGGTGGGTACAACAGTGGAGTTGCCCCCACTAACATTTCCAAGCTTTAACAAGCGAACTATTATCTGACTACATATGTTCAGTTAACAGTAATTGGTATAATAGTAAGTGACTATAGTACATAAGAAAAACAGTAATCATAAAAAATATTGATTAATCAATACATATCATTCATCTTATTAAGTATCATAATCATTTCTTGCTAGTTTGTTTTGCTAACCATTGGTAAAGATTTTTCCATGTTTTAAAGTAAACCAGGGGTAGTCAACCTTGGCTCTTTTATGACTCGTGGACTTCAACTCCCAGAATTCCTGAGCCAGCTAAGGAATTCTGGGAATTGAAGTCCACGAGTCATAAAAGAGCCAAGGTTGACTAGCCCTGAAGTAAACTGTGTCCTTTTTAATTTCTAAAGTTAGTCTGTCCATTTCTGCACATTCTAAAATTTTCCTAATTATAATTTGATCAGATGGTATATTTTCATTTTTCCAATATTGGGCAAATGCTATTCTCGCTGCTGTCAGTATATGTCATATTCAATAGTCATTCTCTTTCCCATATTTCTCTCCTAATATTCCTAACAAAAACAATTCTGGTTTGAATTCTACCTGTATTTTGGTCATCTTTTCCAACCAGGTGTGAATCTTAAACCAAAATTTCTTCGCACTAGGACATACCCACCAGATATGACAATATGTACCTGGCTTTTGTACTCTTTCTAGAGTCTCCACATCTTTTTTACATCGTGGTGACCGAAACTGGATGCCGTATTCCAAGTGTGGCCTCACCAAGGCCTTGTAAAGTGGTACTAACACTTCACGCAATCTTAACAATATTTACTGGATAGAACCTGGAGTTGCCTCTGCTGGCCAACCTAATGGGGCAGGTAGAGTCCAGGGGAGGAAAACGGTCCTTCAAATACCTTGACCCCCAACCCCATCCTTCATGACTCCATAATCTCAAAGCCCCAAAACTTACCATGCCAGGCAAGAGTTTCCCAAGTGTAGTATTCAAAAATTTATTCACTACTTTTGGAATCATGCTGAAAGAGAAGAGAAGCAGAGATCAGCAAAGTAATTCATATGGGGGCTATCAATCTGCAGTGCTTTCCATTTTTTTTAAGGTCAAGAATCTCTGCTTTAGTTTTGTCTCATTTGTCTCAAAGGCCATTGAGCATTCATGATGGATGGATGGATGGATGGATGTATTTATGGATGGATGGTTGGATAAAGGGATGGATAAAAGAATGGAGGGAAGAAGGATGGGATGGAGGGGTGGAAAGATGGAGAGATGGAGGGATGAGGAAGGATGGAGATATGGAGGCAATTGGACTTTCTCATTTTTCTTTGAAGACATTTCCCTTCTCATCCAAGAAGCTTCTTCAGCTCTGACTGGGGGATGGGGAATGGGAGGATTTATACTCCTGGCAGACAGCTGGTCAGTTGCCTTCTTTCAGAGAGTCGTTGAGGCCACTTGGAACCTTATCTGTATTTGCACCACTCAGGTGACCCTGAGGACATAGACAAGCCTCCAGGTGGCCTCAACGACTCTCTAAAAGAAGGCAAATGACTAGCTGTCTGCAAGGAGTATAAGTCCTTCTATTCTCCACCATCTGGACAGAACTGAAGAAGCTTCTGGGATGAGAAGCGAAACGTCTTCAAAGAAAAACAAGACAGTCCAGATGCCTTTTGAAAAAACCTTATTTACTGACCAACCTGCCTACTTAAGTTGTCAAGACTTTTCTTTCTTATCAGGAGCAACCATCAAAATCTCATTGAAGTAGCTACATCAACTTACGAACTCTGGGAGGATGGAGTGAACCGGGGCAAGAGGCTATTGTTAGGGAAAGTGTGGGCTACAATTGAGCATTTTGTGCAGTTATCGTCTTGCCCTGTGTTGTGTCTAGTCCTTGGAAAACAAAGGATCTTCACACAAACATCCGGGGACAAGAACTGTTTTTCTTCCCTGTGCCTGTGAGGGTGCCTCTCTTACACATCCCCTATTTCAATACGTATTCACAACAAAAGGTGCATTTTTAAATATTTGTACTGAGGCGCCCATGCAGTTCAAAACTGCGTTGCAACCTTGGGGGAGATGAAATTTGTTAGGGAGCTCTTGCTCCATCCTCAGATTAACGCAGGAGGTGGAACCCCTTAGAATTCAACAGGTCAGGCAAAAGTTGGCTTCTGTTGGAATGAAATCAAGGGGTGGGCCATCTCCAAGTCCAGCTCTTTGTAGCCCCTCACCCAAATGCTGTGCAGACTGCTGTCTAAAGTCCAGGCCTGTCAGAAAGAAAGAAAGAAAGAAAGAAAGAAAGAAAGAAAGAAAGAAAGAAAGAAAGAAAGAAAGAAAGAAAGAAAGAAAGAAAGAAAGAAGAGGAGGAGGAGGAGGAGGAGGAGGAGGAGGAGGAGAATCCCACTCCCTCCCTTAGAGCTATTCTGCCTATCATGAAAGTCCTGCTTTTGGATCTACGTGGACATTGGACACTAATGGAAGAATCAGATTTTCAAGAACGGGGAATCAAGATGAGGAGAACCAGACCACCTTGTGGAGAACCAAAGGGTGGAGACCCTTGTCCCTCAGGCTCCCCAGAGGTCCCTGCCACCCTAGTTCTTCACTTTGGCGACGGTTCCCGAGCTACATCTCGCCCATCCTCTCTCCATATCCTTTGAGCTCTTTTGTTTCTAACTGGGAGACCTCTGAACCCTCGGCCGTCTCCCACAAACTAACTGCCCCCGCCCAAAAAAACTCAAATTGGTCCTTCCCCTTCCTGACACATCTTGTGACCTCACTTGCTGGGAAGGTTGGTTTTGTAGGCCAAAAGACGCACTTCACAGCTGGTTTTCTCCATCCCGATGTGCTTGGTGGGGTGTTTGGTCACCTTAATCACGATGTCCATTTTGGATTTCAGAGTGATCTCCATTTTTCCGCCGATAAAGCTGCACAAAACACAAAAGAGTCAGTCTAACAGAGGTCCCAGGTCCAATACACAAGAGGTCCAATGCCCAGGTTTTCACATTGACCCTTTGATTTCAGAAAGAACCGGCATCATCGTACTCAAGGTCACGTGAAGTATTAATACCACTTTACAAGGCCTTGGTAAGGCCACACTTGGAATACGGCATCCAGTTTTGGTCACCACGATGTAAAAAAGATGTTGAGACTCTAGGAAGAGTACAGAGAAGAGCAACAAAGATGATTAGGGGACTGGAGGCTAAAACATATAAGGAACGGTTGCTGGAATTGGGTATGTCTAGTTTAAGGAAGAGAAGGACCAGGGGGGACATGATAGCAGCCTTCCAGTGTCTCAGGGGCTGCCCCAAAGAAGAGGGAGTCAAGATATTCTCCAAAGCGCCTGAAGGCAGGACAAGAAGCAATGGATAGAAACTAATCAAGGAGAGAAGCAATCTGGAACTAAGGAGAAACTTCCTGACGGTGAGAACAATTAACCAGTGGAACAACCTGCCTCTAGAAGCAATAAATGCTCCAACACTGGAAGTTTTTAAGAAGAGACTGGACAGCCATTTGTCCGAAATGGTATAGGGTTTCCTGCCTGAGCAGGGGGGTTGGACTAGATGATCTCCAAGGTCCCTTCCATCATCATCATCATCATCATCATCATCATCATCATTATTATTATTATTATTATTATTATTATTATTATTATTATTATTATTATTATTATAAGCTTTAACTTGAACTCTATATTGTTTCACAACACAGACGTATTTTTTGCAATTTGCCGAGTTTTGTGCAATATGAAATTGCAAAGTAGGTAGTTTTGTGTATATTTGCAACATCGGGGACTGAAAGTAGCAGATGGATAGAGGTTTCAGATGTACATGGGTGTATGTGGAAACTGCTGATCAGCACAAAAGAACAAGGAACTGATTTTGCAAGATGATGACTATCTGTGGGTGGTCGTGAGAAGAAAGGTATAAAAATGTTAGTTTAAGTGTAGCTTAGGGCCATTGGCCTACAGCAGTCCTTTTGGAATCTGCTATGCCACATGGTCCTCATTGCAATGGGTTGTTAACGTAAGTGATATTGTGTTATTATGCTTGCTATGTTCCAAATCATTAGCAAAATAAACCTCTGAATCTTAAAGTAAGAAAGATTGTTTTGTGTTGCTGTCTCTTGTCTTTTCCATTGGGTTTTTCCACGACAATATGGAGGGTGGTGAGGACAGCCAAGAACATCATAGGCAGCTCACTTCCTGTGACTCAGGATGCTGCTTATATGTGCTTAGAACTCAGAGCATTATTAGAGACTCCCACACATCCCCACTTCACAGTTTGTTTCTATTGCTCCCTTCTGGGAGGAGGTTTAGAAGTATTTATAGCAGGACTACCTGATTCTGTAACAGCTTTGTTCCCTATGCCAGCGGTCCCCAAGCTTTCTGGCACCAGGGACTGGTTTTGTGGAAGACAATTTTTCCATGGGCCAGGGTGGGGGGGGGATGGTTTCACGTGCAATCAAGACCCCACGCATGTGCAGATAAAGCTTTACTCAGTCACCCGCTGCTTGTGTGGACCGGTTCCCAACAAGCTGCAGTCCATGGCCCAGAGAATGGGGACCCCTGCCCTAAGCCATCCATCTGGTAAACTTGCAAGATTCGTTTTTCTTGCCATGCACATGTATACGTAACCTGAACTAGACTGTTTTGTTTCTCTGTGTCATATAATATATGTGGGTATATGCATAAGTCTGTATTTATTTATTTATTTATTTATTTATTTATGTCATATTTATGTAGAGTATAGTGGAGGTGGGGACCCTTTGAGAGCTGAATGCAATGAAATTTCACTTCAATGTATCTGATTATTCCATATTTTCTATTCTATTCTATTCTATTCCATTCCATTCCATTCCATTCCATATTTTCTGTTCTGTTCTGTTCTGTTCTGTTCTACAATCTGTCTATTCTATTCTGTTCCATTCCATTCCGTTCCATTCCATTCTGCTCCATTCCATTCCATTCTATTCTATTCTATTCCATTCCATATTTTCTGTTCTGTTCTGTTGTATTCTACAATCTGTTCTATTCTGTTCCGTTCCATTCTATTCTATTCTATTCTATTCTATTCTATTCTATTCTATTCTAATCCATTCCATTCCATTCTATTCCATTCCATATTTTCTGTTCTGTTCTGTTCTATTCTACAATCTGTCTATTCTATTCTGTTCCATTCCATTCCATTCTATTCTATATTTCTATTCTATTCTGTTCTTTTCTTTTCTGTTCTAAACAGTATATCTCCTTATGTTCTAGACAGGATTCTCCATTCAGTCGGTTAGTAATAGTAGTAAAGTTGGAAGGGACCTTGGAGGTCATCTAGTCCAACCCCCTGCTCAGGCAGGAAACCCTACACCATTTCGGAAAAATGGCTGTCCAGTCTCTTCTTAAAAACTTCCAGTGTTGGAGCATTTTCTGCTTCTGGAGGCAGGCTGTTCCACTGATTAATTGTTCTCACTGTCAGGAAGTTTCTCCTTAGTTCTAGGTTGCTTCTCTCCTTGATTAGTTTCCACCCGTTGCTTCTTGTCCTGCCTTCAGGTGCTCTGGAAAATAGCTTAATTCCCTCTTCTTTATGGCAGCCCCTGAGATATTGGAATACTGCTATCATGTTCCCCCTTGTCCTTCTCTTCATTAAACTAGACATACCCAATTCTAGCAACCGTTCTTTATATGTTTTAGCCTCCAGTCCCCTAATCATCTTTGTTGCTCTTCTCTGTACTCTTTCTAGAGTCTCAACATCTTTTTTACATCGTGGGGACCAAAACTGGATGCAGTATTCCAAGTGTGGCCTTACCAAGGCATTGAAGAGTGGTATTAATACTTCACGTGATCTTGATTCTATCCCTCTGTTAATGCAGCCTAGCACTGTGTTGGCATTTTTGGCAGCTGCAGCACACTGCTGGCTCATATTTAAGTGATTGTCTACTAGGACTCCGAGGTCCCTCTCACAGTTAATACTATTGAGCATGGTGCCACCTATGCTGTACTTGTGCATTTGGTTTTTCTTGCCTAAATGTAGAACCTTGCTTTTTTCACCATTGAATTTCATTTTGTTAGTTAGTGCCCAGTGTTCAAGTCTGTCCAGATCCGTCTGTATCTGAAGCCTGTCTTCTGGAGTGTTGGCTATTCCTGCCAGCTTGGTGTCGTCTGCAAATTTGATGAGTTCCCCATCTATCCCTTCATCCAAATCGTTGATGAAGATGTTGAAGAGCCCTGGGCCCAGAACAGAGCCCTGGGGCACCCCACTACACACTTCCCTCCATATAGTTGAATAAGTCCCCAAAACATTGTGGGCCACCTCCACCTTCCAGTCCCTTGACCATGAACAAAAGCAGCTTCTCACTCACCTTTTCCCAGCAACTGTGAGGGTAATAATCACGGATGTCTGCATTTGCTTGGGTGGAATTAACTTTGTGCAAATTTCAGGGGGTCTGAAATCTTTAAGTTTCATCCTAGGAATTAAAGAATAATAGCATGAAGAATAGCAGAGGAAAGCATTATCTGAGGATGGGGAGAACCGGGTGAGGACCTGGTGAGATGCTGAGAAGTTGAGGGTGAAGGTTCGTTCTTCCAGCTTGTGGGTTGGTTTTGTTACAAGACTGGGCAAGGCCTTCAGCAGAGTTGAACTTGTTACCCAGCCTAGTAAGGAAACGTTCAGAGAACAACCCACAATTTCAGAGAATGATCCTTCACCCTCATCCTACACCGGAGCTACAGATATCCACCACAACTGCATTGGCCTGCATGCTTACGGTCTACAAGTACTAGCACTAAGAGTTGTGTGCAAATCCGCAGGGAAGATGATAGACTTGTGTACGGTACTTGTACACAGGACTTGTGTCCAGGGACTAGTCCTAAGTACTCTGAGTTTTGTACAAGTTCTCCAGAAGATCCTCAACCCAATGAAATCTGTCTTTGGGTTCTCTGAGCTGTGTTTTAATGCTACTCCTATGGCTAACTTTCTAATCAAAAGATGCTCAGGGAAATAAGATCCTGAGTTTGTCCTGGTCCTCAGGGTCCTTTGAGGCGGTCACTAATCCAATTCCTTTGTGGATGGACTGTCATCTATAGTGTGTAGAATACAGACTATCAGAGATGGAAAGGACCTCGGAGATCTTCTACTCCCACCCTCTGTCCGAGGCAGGAGACCTCATAAGATCCTGACAAATAGCTGTCCAGACAGGATTAAATCCAAGATTAAACCTTCCCAAGGGCTGCCCCAAAGAAGAGGGAGTCAAGCTATTCTCCGAAGCACCTGAAGGCAGGACAAGAAGCAATGGATGGAAACTAACCAAGGAGAGAAGCAACCTGGAATTAAGGAGAAACTTCCTGACAGTGAGGACAATTAACCAGTGGAACAACCTGCCTCCAGAAGCTGTGAATGCTCCAACACTGGAAGTTTTTAAGAAGAGACTGGGCAGCCATTTGTCTGAAATGGTCTAGGGCAGGGGTAGGCAAGCTCGGCTCTTTTATGACTTGTGGACTTCAACTCCCAGAATTCCTGAGCCAGCCATGCTGAGGGGAAAGGGAGAAGTTTCCAAGCTGAGCCATGCTGGCTCTGGAATTCTGAGAATTGAAGTCCACAAGTCATAAAAGGGCCAAGTTTGAAGAGCCCTGGTTTAAATATTTTTTTCCTCATGGTCACATGGTCAAAATTCAGGCATTTGGGCAGGAGTAGGCAACCTTGGCTCTTTTATGACTCGTGGACTTCAACTCCCAGAATTCCTGAGCCTGCCATGCTGAGGGGACAGGGAGAGGTTTCCAAGCTGAGCCATGATGGCCCAGGAATTCTGGGAGTTAGTCCACAGGCCATGAAGGGGCCATAGTTCCCCCATGCTGGCTCAGGAATTCTGGGAATTGAAGTCAAAGAGTCATGAGGGGGCCATAGTTCCCCCATGCTGGCTCAGGAATTCTGGGAGTTGAAGTCCACCAGTCATAAAAGAGGCAAGGTTGCCTACCCCTGGTATAGGATTTCCTGCCTGAGCAGGGGGTTGGACTAGATGACCTCCAAGGTCCCTTCCAACTTTATTATTATTATTATTATTGTTATTATTGTTGTTGTTGTTGTTGTTCATTCCGCTGCTGTAGACTTTGGCATTCTGAGTAGGAACCAAGGTCTTGCCCTACCTCCAGATCTGTTGGGTCTTCAACTATTGGCTGGAAAATTGGGGGGGGGAATTTTCACACCCCAGGAAGCCTGCTGGGGTCAAACATCTGGCTCCTCCTTGACTACCACGGAGGAAATGAATGGACTCACCCTTTGAGGCCTTTGAGTGCCTTATTCTTGGTTGCCATGGTCGCCATCCCATCCAAAATCTTCTTGTCTGTCATGGCCATCTGGATGACTAGAACACAGAGCCACAAAGAAGCGACGGCCAACGCAAGTCGTGAGACTTTGTACCAGGAGGAGGAGGAGGAGGAGGCCCACCCCAGCACTAGAGGGAGGGCACCCCCATCTCCCCTCACAGCTCCTGGAGCCCTTCCCCACCCAGCCCCACCAGCCCCACCACCGCTGAAAGCAAAGAGACTCTCCTATTTACAGCCCTGGTGGTGCAGTGGTCAGAATGCAGCATTGTGGGCTGACTCTGCCCAACTGCCAGTAGTTCGATCCTGACCGGTTCAAGGTTGACTCAGCCTTCTGTCCTTTTGAGGTCGGCAAAATGAGAAGCCAGTTTGTTGGGGGCAACAGGCTGACTCTGTAAACCGCTCAGAGAGGGCTGTAAAGCGTTATGAAGCGGTATATGTCGAAATGCTATTGCTATTGCTGTCTTCTGCTAGGGGGAAAGAGAATTAAAAAAATTTACACGGAGGTGTAAATAAATGTATGGTGTAATAAAACTATTAGAAGGAAGGAAGGAAGGAAGGAAGGAAGGAAGGAAGGAAGGAAGGAAGGAAGGAAGGAAGGAAGGAAGGAAGGAAGGAAGGAAGGAAAAAGGGAAAGGAAGGAAGGAAGGGAATGAGAAGAGAAGGGAATGAGAAGAGAAGGGAATGAGAAGAAGGAAGGAAGGAAGGAAGGAACAAAAAAGGGAAAGGAAGGAAGGAAGGAAATGAGAAGAGAAGGGAATGAGAAGAGAAGGGAATGAGAAGAAGGAAGGAAGGAAGGAAGGAACAAAAAAGGGAAAGGAAGGAAGGAAATGAGAAGAGAAGGGAATGAGAAGGAAGGAAGGAAGGAAGGAAGGAAGGAAGGAAGGAAGGAAGGAAGGAAGGAAGGAAGGAAGGAAGGAAGGAAGGAAGGGAAAGGAAGGAAGGAAGGGAATGAGAAGAGAAGGGAATGAGAAGAGAAGGGAATGAGAAGAAGGAAGGAAGGAAGGAAGGAACAAAAAAGGGAAAGGAAGGAAGGAAGGAAATGAGAAGAGAAGGGAATGAGAAGAGAAGGGAATGAGAAGAAGGAAGGAAGGAAGGAAGGAACAAAAAAGGGAAAGGAAGGAAGGAAATGAGAAGAGAAGGGAATGAGAAGAGAAGGGAATGAGAAGAAGGAAGGAAGGAAGGAAGGAAGGAAGGAAGGAAGGAAGGAAGGAAGGAAGGAAGGAAGGAAGGAAGGAACAAAAAAGGGAAAGGAAGGAAGGAAATGAGAAGAGAAGGGAATGAGAAGAAGGAAGGAAGGAAGGAACAAAAAAGGGAAAGGAAGAAAGGAAGGAAATGAGAAGAGAAGGGAATGAGAAGAAGGGAATGAGAAGGGAATGAAAAGAAAAGCAAATGAGAAGAAGGAAGGAAGGAAGGAAGGAAGGAAGGAAGGAAGGAAGGAAGGAAGGAAGGAAGGAAGGAAGGAAAGAAAGAAAGAAAGTTCCTCTGTGTGCATCTATGTACAACTAAACTGCTTTTGTTTGCCTTTTGTGTAACCTTTAACTGGACAAAATAGTTTACCATAGGTCATTTTTTTAAAAAATTAAGGCACCCCAAATGAGCTAACGTACAAAATGTATCCAAAGTCTGTGTCCACCTACAACTTTTGTGGGATCAAAATTTGGCCAATTTTATCCAACATTTAATGACAAATGTGACCATAAAGCCGTTGCTGACATCAAACAAAATATCACAACACGTTTCCTGTGGTCCACTCCTGATGTTTGCTCCACACGGGCTACTTTCAAGGCAGATCCATCTCTGAATGAATAAGCCAGTCGACACAACTTTACACCGACCTTCTGCTCAAAAAGGAGGCCATTTTACTTACTGCGTGTCATTGTTTTGGGATCAATTTTCAGCTGAGGTCCGTACATCTCTCCTGTGTCAGTATGGACCATCCCGACACAGAAGAAGACCAGCAAGCTGACCCAGGGCCTCTTGAGGGCTAGATCCATGGTGGCTGAGCTCCTTCTAAGCAACAGGCTGGCAGAAAGTCAGAAACAAATCTTTGGCTGTATAAAAGTGGAATAAGAACACCAATATTTAGATTCGGGGGATCAAAGCTGGTGGGAAGAGGGAAAGGGCAACGATTTAGCTTCAAACTAGAGGTCTTCTCCAATCAATAATCACATCATTTCTCACTTTTTGAGAGGGAAGCAATTCTATTCTAATCATTTCCCACGATGGCAGAACTTCAAAGTCTGAAAATGGCTGACATTGGGGTGCCGTAGCCATGGAGAACATGGGTCCCCCCCCTTATACAACTCTTGGAAAGGGCCCCCGACTCGGTTTCTGATCTTCTGATCTTCTGCCGATATTGACCATCCCATCTTCTAGAAGAAGGACAGAGTCAAAGACTTGATGAGCACCTCAACTCAAGGGACAGAGCCCAGAAGGGTCTGATGACTGTCCAGTCAACGTAGGAAAAATAACTGGAGAAAAATGGTTGGACAGAGACCTTTTTCAAACCGCGAGAACTTCAATTTGCAACTCTGCAGAAGAAGACAGGGGTGGCTCCTTCTAAGCCTGCTGGAAGATTTCAGAGTTGCACCCCAGACTCTAGAGCTAAAGATGCAGGAAAATCTGGACGGGAGACTCAACCCCAATCTTACGTGTCCATCAACTTTCTCAGAAGGGACTCCTTCCCCCATCTGGGGTACCTTTGGACCTTCACACAGTTCACTTACATGTCTGGATGGATGGAGCTTCCTCAATGTGCTCAAATCTTTGCCCACTAATCTTCTCTTGGGTTGCCAGTTATATACTTCCCCGTGGATGAAAGAAGCGATTCAGAGCGTTGATAACCATGGAGATGTGATCCAAACTCATCAGGGGAACTTCCAAGATAAACATTTTTCACAGACATCTTGAAATTGAGAGACGTTCTTCAGTGCCAGGTTCATGTGACTCTTCCAGGTGATCTGCTGAACCAGGTGATCTGCTGGAGCAGGTTGGCTGTCCACCCAGAATGAGAGAGAAAAGAAGGACAGCTGGTCTACTCAACATGCTACACCAATGTTTCCCAGTTTTGGCACCTTGGGGAAGGTGCCAAGGTTGGCTGGTGAATTCTGGGAGTTGAAGTAATAATAATAATAATAATAACAACAACAACAACAACAACAGCACCATTGGCATTGACAAATTCGCCATTAGTCAATTGCAAAAGGCGGCCTTACTAGAAACTGCTTCCATCCTGCAATGAGATCTGTAATACCATCAAACATCCATATCTGCCTATCCCAGATCCTTGGGGAAGACGCGATAGGTAGACAAAAAGGCCAAATCCAGTCTGAACATCTGGCTGACTGTGCGATGATTAATAATAATAATAATAATAATAATAATAATAATAATAATAATAATAATGTTGGAAGGGACCTTGGAGGTTATCTAGTCGAACTCCCCCTGCTCAGTGAGGAAACCCTATACCATCTCAGACAACTGGCTGTCCAGTTTCTTTTTAAAAACTTCCAGTGTTGGAGCATTCACCGCTTCTGGAGGCAGGTTGTTCCACTGGTTAATTGTCCTCACTGTCAGGAAGTTTCTCCTTAATTCCAGGTTGCTTCTCTCCTTGATCAGTTTCCATCCGTTGCTTCTTGTCCTGCCTTCAGGCGTTTTAGACAACAGCTTGACTCCCTCTTCTTTGGGGCAGCCCCTGAGATACTGGAAGGCTGCTATCATGCCCCCCCCCCCCGTCCTTCTCTTCATTAAACTAGACATACCCAATTCCAGCAACTGTCCTTATATGTTTTAGCCTCCAGTCCCCTGATCATCTTTGTTGCTCTTCTCTGTACTCTTTCCAGAGTCTCAACATCTTTCTTATATCATAGTGACCAAAACTAGATGCCATGTTCCAAGTGTGGCCTTACCAAGGCCTTGTAAAGTGGTGTTAACACTTCATGTGATCTTGATTCTGTCCCTCTGTTAAAGAAACACAGGCTTGGAATCCTGGCTTGTTCCTGGTAAGCCGGATTCTAAGCATTCTGACATATTCTAGGGAACTTCCCCTCTGAGGGTGCACAATTCCTGGGTTTCTTTCAACTGAGTTGGTCCGAAGGCTACAAAAACAGTTGTTAAGTGGATTTTGCTTCGTTGTATGACCTTTCACGCCACCATTGTTAAGTCAATTATTCAGTTGATAAATGAGTAACGCGGTCATTAATTGAATCCGGCGTCCCCCCCCCCTTGATTTTGCTCTCCGGAAAGTCGCACAAAAGGGGATCACGTGACCCCGGGATGACTCACGTGACGGTCATAAATATGGGTCAGTTGTCAAGTGTCTGAATTTTGATCACGTGACCACGGGGATGCCGCAACGGTCATAAGTGTGAAAAACGGTCCTGAGTTAATTTTTTCAGTGGTACTGTTATCCTCCCTGGTCTCTGCTGACAGGGGTGAGGGGGAGCCTGTGGCCTAAAGGTTAATACAACTGCCTAACATGGAAACTGCCCAGGTTCGAATCCCAGAGGGGTATGATTAGCTGATGAGAGCTAAAGAGCTTGAAATAGCTATACTCGTCTCCCTTTAACTCTTCGTCAGCCACAACATTTTGAATTTAAGGTGTTCACCGTAATGACGTCTGCCTGCAAAAGATGCTCCTAGTGTCAGAGGTTCCGACTAATGAAGCACTTCAAAGAACTTTCAGGCATATTTCCTAAAGTCTTTATTACAGAGCTACAAATTGCCGGTCACCATCATGGACGGTTGGATGCCCGAATCTAACTTCCTCTCTCTGGCATCAAACTTTTCTTGCTAAACCCCTCCCTTATCTTGCAGTCACAAGTCACAATATCCTATTAGTGTGAAGGTCAAAAGTTTACTTCCTCCTTCCCCCCCCCCCCCCCCGGCTTTCTCCCCCCCCACTCTAAGCTATGTATTAACCCAGTAAATACCAGACAGTTTTGCATATTGTCAAAGCAAGAATATGCAGTATTTGCAGCATTGATACCTAGCCTGGAGTGAAACGCAGAACAATGGTGTTGTAACTTCGAACAGTCACTAAACGAGGAATGCCTGTGCCCATTTGACGCAGGCCTTTCCTATCCTCTCTCCAGCTACCTTCTCTTGAATGAGAATACTCGAGGTTTCCTCTTAGCAGGTGCCTGGCAATCCAGCTTAAATTCCATTTTGGCGGATTTTTCACCCTTTTATCTGATTTGGAGGCAGGATTTTGGGATTAGCAAGGATTTAAGAACCCTGAAAAGGGACACGGAAGATGCTTTAATGGCCGGTAATGCAATCCCCCCCCCTCACTAACATCCTCTCTTGGAAGGATAAAAGCCACGCTGTGTGCGAAAGCACCACAACTTCTCAGCATACGATAAGGTGTCAGCTTAATTCCCACTTAACCTTCTCAATCTCAGCCCCTGGAATCTAAGTTGTTTGCGCATCAGCTTTTGACTTACTTCTTCCCAAATGCCTCAAAACAATTTGGGGTGCTTTTGTGACTCTTTAAAGCAGCTGCCTCTTTCTGCAAAAGTGGGGGAGGCGGCTGCTACGGAATGACAGAGATGGAGGGGACCTTGGAGGTCATCTAGTCCAACCCCCTGTTCAGGCAGGAAACCCTACACCATTTCGGCCAAACGGCTGTCCAGTCTCTTCTTAAAAACTTCCAGTGTTGGAGCATTCACCATTTCTGGAGGCAGGTGGTTCCACTGGTTAATTGTTCCAACTGTCAGGAAGTTTCTCCCTAGTTCTAGGTTGCTTCTCTCCTTGATCAGTTTCCATCCGTTGCTCCTTGTCCTGCCTTCTGGTGCCTTGGAGAATAGCTTGACTCCCTCTTCTTTGGGGCAGCCCCTGAGATACTGGAACACTGCTATCATGTCCCCCCTTGTTCTTCTTTTCACTTCTTCTTCTTCTTGTGCCCTATCTGTTATTGGACGTTGGCGATCATGTTGGCAATCCTGTTTTTATCAGCAGCCACACGAAAAAGTGCTGCTGAGTTTTGTTCAAACCGGTCTCTTAGATATTGAAGCTATAGACTGTCCAATTCCCTAAACGATTCAAAATAACAGAGTTGGAAGGGATCTTGGAGGTCATCTAGTCCAGCCCCCTGCTCAGGCAGGAGACCCTATACCATTCCAGGAAAAGTGGCTGTCCAGTCTCTTCTTAAAAACCTCCAGTGATGGAGCACCCACAGCTTCTGAAGGCACGTTGTTCTCACATGGGGTACCTCCATGTAGATGCAGCTCCATTATCTGTTAAGTGTGGTTGGTCACCCAGTTGCAAATCCATCTGGTGGTGATGATGCTATCTAGCCCACATTTTTCTATCTTATCAAGAAGTAAGATGCGGTCAACTTTCATGTCTAAATAGGGTCTCCTGGTGATTGGCCCAAAGTCACCCAGCTGGCTTTCATGCTTAAGGCGGGACTAAAACTCACCATCTCCTGGTGATTGGCTCAAAGTCACCCAGTCAGCTTTCATGCCTAAGGCAGGACTAGAACTCACCGTCTCCTGGTGATTGGCTCAAAGTCACCCAGTCAGGTTTCATGCCTAAGGCGGGACTAGAACTCACCGTCTCCTGGTGATTGGCTCAAAGTCACCCAGTCAGGTTTCATGCCTAAGGCGGGACTAGAACTCACCGTCTCCTGGTGATTGGCTCAAAGGCACCCAGTCAGGTTTCATGCCTAAGGCGGGATTAGAACTCACCCTCTCCTGGTGATTGGCTCAAAGTCACCCAGTCAGCTTTCATGCCTAAGGCGTGACTAGAACTCACCATCTCCTGGTGATTGGCACAAAGTCACCCAGTCAGGTTTCATGTCTAAGGCGGGACTAGAACTCACCGTCTCCTGGTGATTGGCCCAAAATCACCCATCTGGCTTTCATACCTTAAGCAGGACTAGAATTCATCTGCTTTCTAGCCTGAACCACTAGACCAGTGTTTCTCAACCTTGACCATTTTAAGGCATGTGGACTTCAACTCCCAGAATTCCACAGCCAGCATTGCTGGCTGTGGAATTCTGGGAGTTGAAGTCCACATGCCTTAAAATGGTCAAGGTTGAGACACACTGCACTAGACCAATCTGGCTACTGACAGTTTTCATGTTTTCATGTTTCTTCTTGGTTTTTAATCATTGTAAGCCCCTAGAATCAACTCCCAGCAAGATGGGCAGCATATAAATTGAATAAATAAACAAACTGGGATCTCTGCCACCAGCTCACCTGGGCTTGTCTGGGAAGTCCCCCTCCCCGCAGAGAAGGAAATATCTGGGGAATTAAAAATCTAATAATTTTTTTTTTAAAGGCAGAATATTATATTTCCCCAAAGGATGTTAAAGGCAGAAAAACAGGCCCGGTTTTTCTTAACAGCCCCAGGCAGAAACTAGGCAGAAACCAGTTCTGTAGAAATGCAGATATGATAATCCTTTCAGAAAGACTGGAGCCAGGAAGCTTAGAGCTGATGGGATGAGAAAGACAAAGATCCCGAGAATCAACAATCCCTCACGCCCCAAAAAATCCAACACAGGACATAGTCATCATCCCCAGCCTCAGGGAAGCAAAACATGACCTTTAGGATGTAATAGGATTGACCCACCCCCATCAGAATACCAAAAAGGACACTTTCCAAAGCGCCAGAAGGCAGGACAAGAAGCAACGGATGGAAACTAACCAATGAGAGAAGCAACCTGGAACTAAGGAGAAACTTCCTGACAGTGAGGACAATTAACCAGTGGAACAACCTGCCTCCAGAAGCGGTGAATGCTCCAACACTGGAAGTTTTTAAGAAGAGACTGGACAGCCATTTGTCTGAAATGGTATAGGGGTTTCCTGTCTGAGCAGGGAATTAGACTAGATGACCCCCAAGGTCCCTTCCAACTTTATTATTATTGATCATCGCACAGTCAGCCAGATGTTCAGACTGGATTTGGCATTTTGTCTACCTATTGAGTCCTTACCCAGGACCTGGGATAGGCAGATGTGGAGGTATGATGGTATTACAGGTATCGTCGCAAGATGGAAGCAGTTCCTAGTAAGGCCGCCTTTTGCAATTGACTAATAGCGAATTTGTCAATGCCGATGATGGTGTTCAAGTGGTGCTCCAGTTGTTTTGGAATTGCACCCAAGGAGCCTATGACTATTGGTACTACTCTTGCTTGCTTTTGCCACGGTCTTTCTATTTCTATTTGGAGATCTTTGTATTTTGTTATCTTCTCCAGTTCTTTCTCTTCTATTCTGCTGTCTCCAGGCACTGCCACGTCCACTCTCCAGACTTTTTTATCTTTCTTATCGACAGTTGTTAAGTCCGGGGTGTCATGTTGCAGGTGCTTGTTATTATTATTATCATCATTATTATTGTTATTATTGTTGTTGTTGTTGTTGTTATTATGAGGCTGAAAGGGGGGTTGGACTAGAAGACCTCCAAGTTCCCTTCCAACTCTGTTGTGTTATCTCACGAAGAGAAGAAGAAACCTCAACTTTACAGCTCATCTCCCCTTTCTTAGCATCCCTGGTTCTCAAACTGCTAATTTCTGGCTTGAAGGACCCAAACTTCATCCAGCAGGCCTTCATGCCCGGTTCTCAAGGCGCTACTTTCTGACATTAACCTGTGTTTGCTGATCCAACTGACCTGCTTTGAAGATCGTTTGATCAACTTTCAGGCCAGCATCTCTTGTTCATCCACCTCCTGGCGCTGTGGACAGGAGTCGCTCCAGAACCCCACCACGGTCCTGCTGAAACCTCAAGAGACGCAAGTCCAAAGCAAACTCAAGAAATGCAGAAGAGGAAATCGGAATATTTTATTTGAGAAACAGAGGCAGTGCTCCCCTTAAGTCCCTAGTAATCTGCTACTACCGAGAGTAAGACACCCGCAGTGTAGAAGTTTCCCGGGCAAAGAAGGAAAGAGATACCTCAGCCAGCAGAAGCACCAAATCGGTTTTTTTAAGGCGTGAGGCAGTTGTATAAATTTGCTTCCCAATTAGTCACAGCTTGGCGTGATTTACACACACAACACAAAGGAAAAAAATAAATGTGAATTATTAAGAGACATTGAAGGAGGCTGCCTTTATCTTCTCAGCCGGTAGATAAATTTGGCCACTTCGTCCCAAGGCAGTGATTCAAAGGTCGAATGAGCAAAGGGGAGACGTGTCGATCAGGGAGATGGGCACATTTTTCTCTTTTCACAACTTGATTGAACCGAACTGTTTCTTCATTTCCTTTGCCATCTCATCTGGAGTGTAAGGCTCGACGGACTTATACATCGTTATCATGTTCTGCAAATGATAGAAAGGGTCCTCATCACCTCATTCAGAAACTCTACACCAGTGGTTCTCAACCTTTTTAATGCCGCGACCCCCAACCGGTCGTAAGTCGAGGACTATTCAGCCGGTCGTAAGTCAAGGACTACTCAACTGGTGCAGCACCGTTTGCAGAATGGGACTTTGGGCGGGCTCAGCAGGGCAGAGACAGCCTGGACAATTCCTATGGGCTTTTGAAAGCCAATCGAATTAGCCTCTATTCAAGAGAGTCTATTCTATTGGCTTTCAAAAGCCAATAGAATAAAAGGGAGTAGCACAGCTAAGGAAAAGGGGGGGAAAATGGCGGACTGCGTTGTTTGGCGACCCCTGTGAAATGGTCGTTCAACCCCAAATGGGGTCCCGACCCACAGGTTGAGAACCGCTGCTCTACACAAGGCTGGTCCTTAACACAACCCAGTGTTTGTGTATATGTGTGTGGGGGGGAGGAACAGCTTTGCCTCCAGCAGTTGTGGGTGCTCCAACACTGGAGGTTTTCAAGAAGAGACTGGACGGCCATTTGTCAGAAATGCTAGAGGGTCTCCTGCCTCAGCAGGAGGGGCTGGACTAGAGGACCTCCAAGGTCCCTTCCAACTGTGTTCTGTTCTCCAAAGCACCAGAAGGCACGACGAGAAGCAATGAATGGAAGCTAGTCAAGAAGAGAAGCAACCTGGAACTAAAGAGGAATTTCCTGACAGTGAGAACAATTAACCAGTGGAACCACCTGCCTCCAGAAGCCATGAATGCTCCAACACTGGAAGCTTTTAAGAAGAGACTGGACAGCCATTTGTCTGAAATGGTATAGGGTTTCCTGCCTGAGCAGGGACTGGACTACTAGAAGACCTGACTGGAACAGAGCTAGAAGGGACCATGGAGGTCTTCTAGTCCAGCCCTCTGAAGCAGGAGAACCTAAACCATTTCAAACAAGTGACTGTCTAGTCCAGGGGTGTCAAACTGCCGGCCAGCAGGCCGGACGCATCACAAGGAAATGGCACCCACCCCATCGCTGGCAATGGGGGAGAAGTCCCGATACGTCGCACGACATCACATGACGTCGCAAGTGTGACATGTCTGGTCTAGTCTCTTCTTAAAGACCTCCAGTGACGGAGCGCCCACGATTTCTGAGGGCAACTTCTGTTCCACTGGTTGATTGTCCTCATTGTCAGGAAGTGTCTCCTTAATTCCAGGTTGCTTCTCTCTTTGGTCAGTTTCCATCCGTTGCTTCTCGTCCTGCCCTCTGGGGCTTTGGAGAATAGGTTGACTTCTTCTTCTTGGGGGAAGCCCCTCAGATGCTGAAATACTGCCGAGGTCCCTTCCAACTCGGATATTCTGGTGAGCCAGAAGGTCAGTTGGAGAACTGCCCAGGACCCCCAGCTGCGTTGCTTGGAATCTGGTCTAAAATGTGAAGGTTTGGGGCTGAGGCGAGAGCTTCGTAACTGCTCGTTCTGGTGACCTCTGTGTCCTCTCCCATCTCCTGGCCTCCAGAAAGGTTGAGTCTACTCCCATCGCCACCCCTTCCAACACTTCTTGAAAGGACCAGTGCTTCAAGGCTAGTGGAGGATCCCCCTGGCATCCCATCGTTTTGGGTGCGAATCTCCACCTTGGCTACCCGTCAAGAGACAAGGGAAGACTTCTGGCCGGAAGTGTCCTCCAGCATCCTCACCTCAGGATGGATTTCAAGAGGAATTCGTGGATGTTTGCAAACTGAGGATCCTGTTTGATCCTTGGGGGACTTGTCAGACCCAGCTGGGAAGAGTTGTGTGTCTTACACACCTGTGTGTGCATTCCCCGTTCTTAGGTTCGTTCGCGTCATTCAGGAATCCACCCTACGCCTCTCCCTCGAATAACCATCATTTGTTTGGTGACTGTTTGAAGTTACAACCGCGCTGAAAAATGGGCTTACGGCCATTTTGCATGCTTCGCGGCTGTTGCAGCGTCCCCAGGGTCACGTGATCAAAATTGGGATGGTTGGCAACGGAGATCCCCTTTGGCGACCTTCCGACAAGCAAAGTCAACCCAGATTCGCTGAACAAGCGTGTGACTTAACAGCTGCAGTGATTCACATCTCAACGGTGGGAAGGAAGGTCGTAAAATGGGGCAAAACGTTCACTTAACAACTGTCCCGCTCAGTAATGGAAGTGATAAAACTCAATTGTGGACGTAAGTCAAGGACTTCCCATATCAGTGTCAGCTTCTCACACTCAGAATCAGCTGGTTGAAGGCTGGACTAGAAGACCTCCAATGTCCCTTCCATCTCTGTTCTGTTCCATTCTGTTCTGTTCTATATTTTATTCTATTCTGTATTTCTATTCTATTCTATTCTTTCTCTACTCTTCTCTATTCTTTCTCTCTTCTCTTTCTATTCATTCTCTCTTCTCTTCTCTTCTATTCTATTCTGTATTTCTATTCTATTCTATTCTATATTTTCTATTCTAATCTAATCTATTTTACAATATTCTACATTCTATTCTATTCTATATTTTCTATTCTATTCTACAGTCTATTCTATTCTACAGTCTGTCTATTCTATTCTGTTCTATTCTACTATTCTAATCTAATCTATTCTACAATCTATTCTACATTCTATTCTATTCTATTCTATTCTATTCTATTTTGTTCTCTTCCTTGAATGGCCCAACTAACTGCTATCTTGGAACTCACTGACTAAATGGACTAAGGTGGCATCTACACTTTTTGAACCCCTGTTGGGGTGTTTGGGGGGGGGGAAGGGCAGTATGGAAGTTGTTGCCTAGTAAGGCTGCCTTTTGCAATTGACTGATGGCAAATGTGTCAATGCCAATGGGATGACTATTGGTACGTACTTGCCTTTGCCACAGTCTTTCTGTTTCTGTTTGTATGTTATCTTTTGCAATTATTATTGTTATTATTATTATCATTATCATTATCAATTATCAATCATGAATCATGAATCATGAATCATGAACCATGAATTATCAATCATTAATATTAATCATCAATCATCAATCATCAATTATTAATGGTTGATTATTAATGATTAATTATTAGCTATTAATTGCTAACTATTAACTATTAACTATTAATTGCTAACTATTAGCTATTAACTTTTAATTATTAATGATTAATTGCTAACTATTAACTATTAATTGCTAACTATTAACTATTATCAATCATCAATCATCAATTATTGTACTTCATCCAAAGGGAGTCGAAGGTCTTTCTTTCCCAAGGGATGAGACCGGGGAGGGTCTGACACAGCCCTTCTTCAACCCCAATACAGATAGATACCCCTTGAGTTACAACCCACCCTTGGGTCCAAAGTTTGGGTCGCTAAGTGAGGCCATGGTTAAGGGGGTCTGGCCCCGTTTTTACGACTTTTCTCGCCGCGTCCCAAGGATGCTTCTTCACGAGGACTTCCTTGTCTTTCCTCCGAAGACAAAAAGAACAAGAACGAGGAAACAGGAAAGTCCGCGTTGCCTCGTGAACAAGCAGCTCTGGGAGAACGGTGACCCGCAGGACGGTGCATCCCCAGAGCCATTTTTCTCGGCAGCGTCGTTAAATGAATTGCTGGGGCGCTTCAGTGAGTAGCCCAGTTGTTAAGGGACTCTGGCTTCCCCGTGGACTTTGCTCGCCAGAAGGGGACCCCAGGATCCCAGGGAACACGGCCACCGTCACAAAGACGAGTCGCTTGCCCGGCGTCTGAATTTGGATCACCTGACCCCGGGGCAGAGATTGCAGCGGTTGTGAAGATGACGACGGTCAGAAGTTCCCTTTTTTCCAGGGCCGTTGTAACTTTAAAAGGAGTCTGTTGTAAGTCGCGGAGGACGGGCACAAGCCTGAGAGTTTGCATCTACTCACGTCCCCAAAAATGAATTCGGCGTCATCTGGAGTGTTTGTGACGTTGATGAGGCTCGGAAAAGGCACCGGATTTTTACTCAGCACACCTGGAAGAGAAGAAACAGCCGCTGGATCCATCTCTCTCTCTCTTTTATATATATATATATGTAGGTTTTTGGGTTTTCTCCTGCATAAAATTGGAAGTGTCTTGGCGACGTTTCGACGAAGTCCCATTCGTCATCTTCAGGCTGGTGTTTTCAGCTTCGTGCTTCGAAATAGCTAAGACCACACATTGCTCCTCGAGGCACGAAGCTGAAAGCACCAGCCTGAAGATGACGAATGGGACTTCGTCGAAACGTCGCCAAGACACTTCCAATTTTACGTGGGAGAAAACCCGAACAACCAAAGACCTACATATATATATATATCTATATATATATATATATATATATATATATATATATATATATATATGTTTTCTGAGGTTTATATATATGTATATATATATATATATATGTATATATATATATATGTATATATATATATATGTATATGTATAAATAGACATTTTTATGGATTTTCTTTTCCATACATCTGTTAATTTTCCAATCCACCAGCTGTCTGGGGTTAGCGATGCTCATACATATTTGATTCCTAATCCTTCATTCTTTCCGTTAACCAACCATAAAAGAAGCCCCAGACTTGGTAGTCATCTGTGTCATCTTTATCTTTCAGTCTCGCCGTTCATCTGTCCATCTCCGAGGTCCCTTCCAACTCTGCGGTTCTGGGGTTCTGGAAGGGTCTCCTGCCTTAGCAGTGAGTTGGACTGGATGGCCTCCAAAGTCCCTTCCAAGTCTGCGATTCTGGAAGGGTCTCCTGCCTGAGCAGGCGATTGGACTAGATGACCTCCGAGATCCCTTCCAACTCTGTTATTTTGTAATTCTGTAAGGGTCTCCTGCCTGAGCAGGGGGTTGGTCTAGATGACCTCCAAGATCCCTTCCATCTCCTGCATTTTGATTCTACACAGGATAGTCTTGTGGCTAGGAAAACGAAAGGGAGAGGTTGGAAGGCTGAATGAACCTTGAAATGATCAGAGTTGAACTCCAGGCTGTGGGCAGAGTTTGCCTGCAATGCCACATCTGAGCACTGCACCACCAGGGCTCAGAGGAAGGAAAAGGAAAAAGAAGAGGAAGAGAAGGAGGGAGGGAGGGAGGGAGGGAGGAAGGAAGGAAGGAAGGAAGGAAGGAATGAAGGAAGGAAGGAAGGAAGGGAGGAAGGGAGGGAACGAGGAAGGGAGGAAGGAAGGGAGGGAGGAAGGAGGAAGGGAGGAAAGAAGGGAGAGAGGGAGGAAGGAAGGGAGGGAGGGAGGGAGCAAGGGAGGGAGGGAGGAAAAAGCAGTGAAACAGGAGGGAGGAAAGAATGGATAGAGAGAGGAAAGGGAAGGGAGAAAGGAAAGAAGGAACGGGAAGAAGGAAAGAAGGAAGTAAAGGGGAAGGAGAAAAGGAGGGAGGGGGAAAGGAAGGAGAAAAGGAAGGAAGGAAATGGGAGGAAGGAAGGGATGGAGAGAGGGAAGAGAGGAATGGTTCCCCCCCCCACCCGGGAGCTACCACAACCTGCCCACCCGACAAGCCCTTACCATTCATGTTTGGGATCCCAGCGTCCATGACGGTTTCCATGTATTTCTTTGCTGCTGAGACCTACAATAGCGAGAAGGAAGGAGTCAAAAGTGGAGCAAGAGGACATCGGGAAAGAGTGCAGAGAAGAGCAACAAAGATGATCAGGAGACTGGAGGCTAAAACATAAGGAACGGTTGCTGGAATTGGGTAGGTCTAGTTTAACGAAGAGAAGGGGGGACATGATAGCAGGGTTTCAGTATCTCAGGGGCTGCCCCAAAGGAGAGGGAGTCAAGCTCTTTTCCAAAGTGCCTGAAGGCAGGACAAGAAGCAATGGATGGGAACTAACCAAAGAGAGAAGCAACCTGGAACTAAGGAGGAATTTCCTGACAGAACAATTAACTAGTCCTTCAGAAGTTTTGAATGCTCCAACACTAGAGGTTTTTAGGAAGAGACTGGACAGCCATTTGTCTGAAATGGTATAAGGTTTCCTGCCTGAGCAGGGAGTTGGACTAGATGACCTCCAAGGTCCCTTCCAACTTTATTATTATTATTATGGATCATCGCACAGTCAGCCAGATGTTCAGACTGGATTTGGCATTTTGTCTACCTATCGAGTCCTTTCCCAGGACCTGGGATAGGCAGATGTGGATGTTTGATGGTATTACAGGTATCGTCGCAGGATGGAAGCAGTTCCTAATAAGGCCGCCTTTTGCAATTGACTAATAGCGAATTGGTCAATGCCAATGGTGTTCAAGTGGTGCTCCAGTTGTTTTGGGATTGCACCCAAGGAGCCTATTACTATTGGTACTACCCTTGCTTGCTTTTGCCACAGTCTTTCTATTTCTATTTGTAGGTCTTTGTATTTTGTGATCTTCTCCAGTTCTTTCTCGTCTATTCTGCTGTCTCCAGGCACTGCCACATCCACTATCCAGACTTTTTTATCTTTCTTATGAACAATTGTTAAGTCTGGGGTATTATTATTGTTGTTGTTGTTGTTGTTGTTGTTGTTAATTCCCATGACTGCAGCAGTGGGGCTAGAATTTCCCCCCCAAAATAGGGAAATTTTAGCATCCAAAAGTTGGGATCGGGGCCTGTTTAATCCTCGGAGAGCAGCCTATAGTAGCCAGAGAGTAGAGGGCCCTGGTTTCCTGACCCTTTTTTTGAAATTGGGGGCTGCTGGAGAACAAGCCAATGGATCATCAAACAAATCAAGCAATGGATAAAAAAAGAGGAATAAAATCCAGGTAAGTCCTTGACTTACGACCACAATTCAGTGCAACATTTCTTTCGCTAAGCGAGACACTTGGTCCCAAATTTGGATCGTGGGACTTTGGAGAGGCGGTGTGTGTGTGTGTGTGTGGTGGGCTGGACTAGATGTCCTCCAAGACACTTCCAACTCTGTAATTCTATGATTCGGTAAGGGTCTCCTGCTTCGGCAGAGGGACAGACTAGATGACCTCCAAGGTCCCTTCCAGCTCTGCTATTCAATGATTCTGTAAGGGTCTGCTGCTTGAGTTTGAGGTTGGACTAGACGACCTCCAGGGTCTCTTCCCGCTTTGTTATTTTATGATCCTAAATGAGCCCTATTTTATGACTTTCCTTACCTCCGTTGTTAACTGAAACCACTGCAGTTGATAAGCGAGTCACCCGGTCCTTAAGTGAATCCGGTTCCCCCCCCCAGTGGACTTTCCTTGTTGGAAAGTCGCAAAAAGGGATCGCATGACTCCCAAAATGCTGAGACCGTCATAAATACGAGTCAGTCGTCAAGCGTCCGAATTTTGACCATGTCCTCAACAGGGAGGTCATAAATGTGAAAAACGGTCCTGGTTCGGGTTTGGTTTTTTTTGTTTTGTTTTGTTTTGTTTTTGCAAATTTGAACGGTCACTAAACAAACTGTCGTAAGTCAAGGACTCCTTTTAGTTTGTTGACATCTGTATGGAATAAACTGGATATTTCTCGTCACGCTGTCCTTCAGAGTTCCCAGCTACGCAGAGGATGCTTGCATCTCTTTGCAAATGTCTAATAATAATAATAATAATAAAGTGGGAAGGGACCTCGGAGGTCATCTAGTCCAACCCCCTGCTCAGGCAGGAAACCCTATATACCATTTCAGACCAACAATTCAGGAGGGAGCAAAAGGACTCATTCAGTTATGAATTTGTCTCCCGGTCTCGGCCCAAAGTAACGCATCCCCCCTGGGGTGGATAAGGCCCCTCTTAAATGTGTGACACCCCCCCCCCCCAGTATCCTAAAAGGGCTTTGGGCTTACATCTCCAGCAGGGGAAGAAATCTCCGTTGTCCTGTAAGAAGGAGAAGAAGGAGGAGAGAAGGTCAATATTTTGCATTTTTCGCCACGTCCCCCTCAGTGGTCTTGCCTTCCCCAGCGACGGACAAACCAGCATCCGTTTGCTTCCAGACAGATCTAGGAGTCATGGTCAGAAAGGCCCAGATGACAGCCAGAAGGGGAGTGGGGGTGGTGACAGAAGCTCCCTCTGGAATTGATGTGCCAACATCCTGGCCTTTTGACAAAATCCTGTGGGACACACGCACACACACACACACACACAGACACACACACACATGCACACACACCACCACCACCACCACCACCACCACCATCATGCTTGCTTTCAGAACACTGGAGGCTCCCATGATTGGGTTATCCTCTTGATTCAACTGCCCCAAATTCCTCCAAAGATGAAGAAGATGGAAAGAGAGGGAGGGAGGGGAGGGAAGAGAAGGGAAGGGAGGAAGGAAAGAAGGGGAAGGGAAGAAAAGGAAGGAAAGAAGGGGAAGGGAAGAGAAGGGAAGAGAGGAAGGAAGGGGAATGGAAGGGAAGGAAAGGGAAGGAAGGAGGGAGGGAGGGAGGAAGGGAAGGGAAGGGAGGAAGGAAGGGGAAAGAGGAAGGGAGGGAAGGGAAGGAAGGAAGGGGAAGGGAAGGGAAGGAGGGAGGGAGGAAGGAAGGGGAAGGGAAGGGAAGGGAAGGGAAGGAAGGAGGGAGGGAGGAAGGGAAGAGGAGGGAGGGAGGAAGGAAGGGGAGGGAATGGGAGGAGGAAGGGGAAGGGGAAGGAGGAAGGAAGGAAGGGGGGGAATGAAAGGGAAGAAGGAGGAGGGAGGGAGGAAGGAAGGGAAGGGGAAGGAAGGGAATGAGAGGGGAAGGGAGGAGAAGGAGGGAGGAGGAAGGGGAAGGAAGGTGGGAGGGAAGGGGGAAGGGGAAGGGAAGGGAAGGGAAGGGAAGGGGAGGGAGGAGGGAGGGAGGAAGGAAGGGGGAAGGAAGGAAAAAGAGGGAAGGAGGAAGGAAAGGAAGGGAGGGAACGGAAGGGAAGGAGGGAGGAGGAAGGCAGGCAGGGTGACGGAAGGAGAAGGAGGGGAGGAAGGGAAGGGAGGGAAGGAGGAAGGGGAAGGGGAAGGGAAGGGAATGGAAGGGAAGGACAGGAGAAGGGAGGGCGAAGAAGAAGGAAGGAGGGAGGGAGGAAGGAAGGAAGGGGACAATGGGAAGGGGAAGGGGAAGGGAAGGGAAGGGAAGGGAAGGAGGAGGGCGGGAGGGAGGAAGGGCAAGAAGGGAAGGGAACGGAAGGAAGGAGGAGGGGGAAGGAAGCAAGGGGAAGGGAAGGGAAGGGAATGGAAGGGAAGGAAGGAGGGAGGGAGGGAGGGAGGAAGGGAAGAAGGAGGGGGAGGAAGGAAGGGGGAGGGAGGAAGGGGAGGAAGGAAGGGGGAGAAGGAAGGAAATGGGAAGGAAGGAAGGAAGGAGGGAGGGAGAAGGGGGGAAGGAAGGAGGGAGGAAGGGGGGGAAAGGAAGGGAAGGAGGGTAGGGAAGGGAGGGAGGGAGGAAGGAAGGAAAAAAAAAAAAAAGGGGGGGGAAAAGGGGAAGGGATAGGTAGGAGGAAGGGAAGGGGGAGAAGGAAGGAAGGAAGGAGGGAAGGAAAGGAAGGGAACGAAGGAAGGAGGGAGGGAGGAAGGTAAGGAGGAGGAAGGAAGGAAGGAAGAAGAAGGGGGAAGGGAAGGGAAGGAGGGAGGGAGGAAGGAAGGAAAGGGAACGGAAGGAGGGGAGGGAGGAGAGGGAAGGGAACGGAAAAGGAAGGGGAAGGGAGGAAGGAAGGAAGGGAAGGGAAGGGAAGGAGGGAAGGAGGAGAGGGTAGGGAGGGAAGGGAAGGGAGAAGGAAGGGAAGGGAAGGGAGAAAGGGGATGGAGGAAGGGAAGGGGAATGGAAGGAGGGAGGGAGGGAGGAAGGGAAGGGAAGGGGAACCGAAGGAGGGAGGAAGGGAAGGGAAGGGAAGGAAAAGAAGGAGGGAGGAAGGAAGGAAGGGAGGGAGGGAGGGAGGGAAGGAAAGAAAGAAGGGGAAGGGAAGGGAGGAAGGAAGGAAGGGGAAGGGAAGGGAATGGAAGGGAAGGGAAGGAAGGAGGGAGGGAGGAAGGGAAGAAGGGAAGGGGGAGGAGGAAGGAAGGAAGGGGAAGGGAAGGGAGGAAGGGAAGGAAGGAGAAGGGAAGGGGAAGGAGGGAGGGAGGAAGGGGAGGAAGGAAGGGGAAGGAAGGAAGGAAGGAAGGAGGAAGGGAAGGGAGAAATGAAGGAAGGAAGGAAGGGAGGAGGGAGGGAAGGGAAGGGAAGGAGGAGGGAGGGAGGGAGGGAGGGAGGGAGGGAGGAAGGAAGGGAAGGGAACGGAAGGGAAGGGAAAGGAAGGGAAGAGAAGGGAAGGGAAGGGAGGAAGGAAGGGGAAGGAGGAAGGAAGGAAGGGAACGGAAGGAAGGGGAAGGGAAGGAGGGAGGGAGGGAGGGAGGAAGGGAGGAAGGAAGGAAGGAAGGGGAACGGAAGGAGGGAGGGAGGGAGAGAGGGAGGGAGGGAGGAAGGGAAGGGAAGGGAGGAAGGAGGCTTGTGTGGTGGTTCTGTCAGATGAAACTCTCCCCAAGAACTTGGAGGCATTGTTTCCCTTAAAGCAGTGATGGCGAACCTTTCAGAGACCGAGTGCCCAAACTACAACCCCAAACCCACTTATTTATCACCGGGTGCCAGGTGGGCGTGGCCCACTGGGTGGGTGTGGCTATAGTGGTCGTGGCAGGCTGGGTGTGGCCAAGGTGGGCGTGGCCACCTCGATGTTGCTCGTGGGGAGGGACACCTGTGGGGCTGGGCAACGTTGGGGGAGATCCAGGGGGTCTCTGGCAGGTGGGGCGGTGGGCAGGAGGCTCGTCCTGTGGGGTGAGGGGAGGCGCGGCGAGGCGAGGCAGGGCGGGGGTGCCATTGTCGCAGGGCAAGGCAAGGCTGGGGCCGGGGCGGCTGCTGCCCGACACCATCGGCCCCCACACACAGAGGCCAGCGAGCTCACGGGGGGCCGACGGTGTCCGTCAGCAGCCACAGCCTGCCGGCCCCTCGACCGGCGCATTCTGGGGCTCCACAGACCTCCGCCAGCAGTTCAGAGAAGCCGCCTCTGAGCTGGACGGACGGCCGACAGCTGAGGAGGCGATGCGGTGGGTCGTGCCCGGGAAAAGGAGAGCAGGCGAGGCCAGGAGGGTTGAGATGGGGGGGAGGGAAACCAGCTGTGCTGGGATGCATCCGGCCACGTGGGACCTCGGCGAGTTAGCGGGCGGCTGGTTGAAAGGGGACGGTTGCCATCTCCGGGGCATGGCGCGCATGCCGACAGAGAGGGCTCTGAGTGCCGCCTCCGGCATGCGTGCCATAGGTTCGCCACCACTGCTTTAAAGAATCTTTACTCAAGCCCAAAATCTGACTTCTCCTCCCCTCCGTGGCATAGTATCAAAGCACAATTCCCTCCTGCAATTCACGGTCATCGATCACATTCTCCAGTGAGTTTGAACTGCAGGCTTTCCGCCCAGTCCTTTCTCCCGCCATGCCTTCACCGTCTCTTAGTACGATATGGTTCTGTCTAACTAACTCCCATCACGTCCCTCTCTAAATTCTAAGAGCAAAGCATCAGAAAGAAAGAGGTTGTGTCGCCATTGTCCAAGCAAGAGCGTCCAACGGGAGCGGCATTGACAGCCTGCACGGAGAATAACCGATCCGGAAGAGGCATCCGGGCTCAGTTTAAAGCTCATTTGGGGAAGCAGCCTGCAGCTCTGAGCAGCCCCCTGCCCCATCCAGCCCCCCCCCAGGTCACCTGCTTCGGGTAGGGGTCTCGGGAGGAAGGAGAGGGTGTACCTGCACGACCCGGCTTTCAGCGAGATGGCCAACAGTTCCTGTTTGATGGAAACAAGGGCGCTGCATTCGTGGACCTGCCAGGGAGAGAAGAGGAAGAAGGCGGCGGAGGGCCTGAGAGGTCTAGCAAGGTCTCCCGTCCAGGAGGAGACTTACATTTCCTTTCCTTCCCTTCCTTCCTTCCCTCCTTCTTTCTTCCCTCCCTTTCGCCTTCGCTTCTTCTTTCTCCTGATCTTCCTCATCTTCCTGCCTCCCTTCCTTCTTCTTTTGTCCTTCTTCCTTCCTTCTTTCCTTGCTTCCTTTCCTTTCTTCTTCTCCACTTTCCCTTCTTCCTCCCTCCTTCCCTTCTTCTTTCCACCTCGTCTTCTTCTTCCCTCCCTCCTTCTTTCTTTCCTTCCTTCCTTCGTTCTTCCTTCCTTCCTTCCTCCTTTCTTCCCTCCCTTCCTTCCTCCCTCCCTCCCTCCCTTCCCACTTTCCCTTCTTCCTCCCTCCCTCCCTCCTTCTTTTTTCCTTCCTTCTTCCTTCCTTCCCTTCCACTTCCCCTTCTAACTTCCCTCCTTCCCTCCCTTTCACCTGACCTTCTTCCTTCTCCTCATCTTCCTCATATTCCTGCCTCCCTTTCTTTCCTTCCTTCCTTCCCTTCCACTTCCCCTTCTAACTTCCTTCCCTCCCTTTCACCTTCCCTTCTTCCTTCTCCTCATCTTCCTGCCTCCCTTCCTTCTTCTTTCATCCTTCTTCCTTCCTCCTTTCCTTTCTTCCTTTCCACTTTCCCTTCCTCCCTCCCTCCTTTCTTTCCTTCCTTCCTTCCTTCTTTCTTTCTTCCTTCCTTCCTTCCTCCCTCCCTCCCTCCCTTCCTTCCTACCCACTTTCCCTTCTTCCTCCCTCCCTCCCTTCTTTTTCCTTCCTTCCTCCCTCCCTCCTTCCCTCCCTCCCTTCGTTCCCTTCTTCCTCCCTCCCTCGTTCCCTCCCTTCCCACTTTCCCTTCCTCCCTCCCTCCCTCCTTCTTTCCTTCATTCCTTCCTCCCTCCCTCCCTCCCTTCCTTCCCACTTTCCCTTCCTCCCTCCCTCCCTTCTTCTCTTTCCTTCCTTCCTTCCTCCCTCCCCCCCCTTCTTTCCCTTCCCCCTCCCTTCCCCCACTTTTCCCTCCCTCCTTCTTTTCCTTTCTTCCTTCCTTCCTTCTCTTCCTCCCTCCTTTTTCCTTCTTCCTCCCTCCCTCCCTGCTTCTCTTTCCTTCCTTCCTTCTTTCTTCCTTCCTTCCCTCCTTCCTTCCTTCCCACTTTCCTTTCTTCCTCTCTTCCTTCTTCTCTTTCCTTCCTTCCTTCCTTCCTTCCTCCCTCCCTCCCTCCCTTCCTTCCTTCCCACTTTCCCTTCTTCGTTGTTTCTTGCTTCCCTTCCTCCCCCTCTCCCTTTCACTTTCCCTCCTTCTTTTCCTTTCTTTCTTCTCCCCTCCCTCCTTCTTCCCTTTCCTTCTTATTCCCTTCCTTCCTTCCTTCCTTCCTCCTCACCTTCCCTTCCTACTAAGTTGCTCTAGGGTAGAAAAGTTCTCCTCTGCCCTCAGAAATTAATTCTCATTGTGGTGGTTTTAATTACCTCCATCTGCTTCTACGTAACATTTCTCCAGATTTGCATTTTCAAACCATCCTTTTTTTCCCCTGGCTCTGGACTTAGCTAAGTTCTCAGGCTTTGGACAGCTTTCTAGGCTAAACAACGTTATTACAAGCACAACATTTCAGGCCGTAAACATCCTCAAGATGAGGTTCAGGGTCTGGGCACTCCCTCACTGAAGGTTTTCAAGAAGAGACTGGACAGCCACTTGTGTGAGATGGTATAGGTTCTCCTGCTTGAGCAGGGGGATGGACTAGAGGACCTCTAAGGTCCCTTCCAGTTGTCAGAATCCAATTATATTTCATCTTTAAATTATCAAATATAGAAACTCCCAATTCTGCCTTCTCTGGATTCTGCCATAAGAGGGAGAGAAGGGGGAGAACAAAGGGGCTTTATGGCCCTCACTTCCTTCTTTACACTTCAAAGAGCTGAATGCTGAATGTGTGTTTATTGTAACCTCGAAGCGTTAACATACCAAAGGAGGGTAGTTGCCTTTCATGTAGTTATCTGAAGTCCCCATGCAGACGGAAGAAAGAAGAAAGGGGGTGGAATTGTGATACTTGAAACTATCACTGGAAGGGGGGTTGATGGGTGGGACTACTGGGGAACCCCTTAAAACCTTGAATGGAAGAGCTTGAACCCCAAGTCCTGTCTAGCATGCCTGCAACCATTTTCTCTTAATAAAGGATTCCTGTTGGAAGAATTATTCCAAGAGTTCTGTCTTCTTAAGATGCAAAGTGGGGTGGGTCCTTACACCAGTTCTATTCTGTTCTGTTCTGTTCTATATTCTATTGTGTTCTACATTCTATTCTATTATGTTCTATATTCTATTCTATGTTCTATTCTATGTTCTATTCTATTCTATTCTGTTCTATATTCTATATTCTATTCTATTATGTTCTATATTCTATTCTATTATGTTCTATATTCTATTCTATTATGTTCTATATTCTATTCTATGTTCAATATTCTATTCTATTCTGTTCTGTTCTATATTCTATATTCTATTCTATTATGTTCTATTTTCTATTCTATGTCCTATATTCTATTCTATTATGTTCTATATTCTATTCTATGTTCTATATTCTATTCTATGTTCTATATTCTATATTCTATTTATTCTATGTTGTATTCTATTCTAGATTCTATTCTATTCTAGATTCTATTCTAGGTTCTATTCTATTCTGTTTTAGGTTCTATTCTATTCTATTTATTCAATATTCTATATTTTATATTCTATTCTATATTCTATTATGTTCTATATTCTATTCTATGTTCTATTTATTCTATGTTCTATTCTATTCTATGTTCTGTTCTATTCTATTTATTCTATGTTCTATTCTATCCCATTATTCTATTGTATTCTGTTCTGTTCTGTTCTGTTCTATTCACCCGCACAAACGGGTGGCCCTCCTGGCTGGCTATTTCTGGAGCTGTGGGCTCAGTTCCTCCAGACTGGGGAACCATCCTTGGGAGAGAGTTAAACAGACACCCCCTAATTCTCTCTCTAGGCCCCTGAAAGTCTTCGTGACGCAGCCTTGATGGAGAGATACACTTGGGTGTGTTCAAACTGGGCCACAATTCATGCCTGCCTTAACAGGAGTTTCTTCACATAAAGATTAATTCTGGAAGGTGAGGATGTGTAAGCAGATTAAGACTTTTGGCCTCTGGTCAAGGGGTGCAGATGAAAAGAAGATTTACCATCTGGATGGAGAGCAGCTCGTTGCCACGTTTAACATCCAAGAACGAAGCCTGGATACGAGTTGTTATAGTGTGGCCAGTAGACGACATGGAAACCAGGGGGTATTCTCTGTGAGTAAGTTGAATTTTCAGCTTTTTCCCAGCAGGCAGACCAGCCTGGATAAAATGGAGGGGGAAAAAAAAAACATTTAAACCCAGAACATGAACAATGACCGCACAACAAGGGGAAGACCCCACCTGACGCTCATCTTGTCCTTCCTGTCTATCTATTTATCATCTATATCTATCTATCTATCTATCTATCTATCTATCTATCTATCTATTTATATTTATATCTATCTCTATCACCTATCATCTATTTCTTATCTATCTATCTATCTATCTATCTATCTATCTATCTATCTATCTATCTATCTATCTATATCTGTTATCTATATATCTCTGTATCTATCTATCTATCTCAGTGGTTCTCAACCTGTGGGTCGGGACCCCATTTGGGGTCGAACGACCATTTCATGGGGGTCGCCAAACAAGGCTGTCCGCCATTTTTTCCCCCTTTTCTTTGGCCATGACCCTGGCACCCGGTGATGTATAAGTGGTTGGGAGTCACCACAACATGGGGAACTGTATTATGGGGTCGCGGCATTAGAAAGGTTGAGAACCACTGATCTATCTATTTGTATCTATCTATCTATCTATCTGTATCTATCTATCTATCTATTTGTATCTATCTATCTATCTATCTATCTACCTATCTGTCTGTCTGTTATCTATATATCTCTGTATCTCTATATATCTATCATCTATCTATCATATCTATCATTATCTATCTATTTGTATCTATCTGTATCTATCTCTATCTATCTATCTATCTATCTATCTATCTATCTATCTATCTTTGTATCTATCTGTATCTATCTATCTATGTATCTATCCATATCTATCTATCTATGTATCTATCTATATCTATATCTGTTTATATTTATATCTCTATCTCAATCTATCACCTATCATCTATTTCCTATCTATCTATCTATATTTATCATCTAATCTATCATTATCTATTATCTATCTATCTGTATCTATCTATCTTATATCTGTCTGTCTGTCTGTCTATCTACTGTATCTATCATCTATATTTATCTATCATTATCCATTATCTATATATCTATCTGTATCCATCTATCTATCTGTCTGTCTGTCTGTCTATCTATCTATCTATCTGTCTGTCTGTCTGTCTATCTATCTATCTGTCTGTCTGTCTGTCTATCTATCTATCTATCTATCTATCTATCTATCTATCCATCTATCTATCTGTATCTATCCGTATCTATCTATCTATGTATCTATCTATATCTATATCTATCTGTTTATATTTATATCTCTATCTCAATCTTTCACCTATCATCTATTTCCTATCTATCTATCTATCTATCTATCTCTATTTATCATCTAATCTATCTATCATTATCTATTATCTATCTGTATCTATCTATCTTATATCTGTCTGTCTATCTATCAGTCTACTGTATCTATCATCTATATTTATCTATCATTATCTATCATCTATATATCTATCTGTATCCATCTATCTGTCTGTCTATCTATCTATCTATCTATCTATCCATCCATCTATCTATCTATCCATCTATCCATCTATCTATCTATCTATCCATCTATCCATCTATCTATCTATCTGTTTCCCATAAAACTAACTCCTTCCTTGATCTAGGAATAAAATCTGCTGCGGAATCCCTGCCCAGATCAGATCTGCTTCTGCACACAGAATGTTTCAGCAGCTCCAAGAGAGAAGAAGTTCTCATTTCTCAGGAGGACCTCCTGGACAGCCAAGCCAGCTGCTTAGCTGAGGCCACCCACCACGATCCCAAAAGCAGGAGGAACTTACGCCTGGCAGCATTTTTCTGAGCTGGTCGGAGGTCGGGACGGAACCCTAAGCAAAAGAGAGAGAGACGAAAAAAAGGAGATAAATACATCAGTAGCAAAAAGCAGGCAAGAATTGCAAGCAATGACCTTGAACCCCATGGAAGGCAAGGCTTATTTCACATAATAATCAACCAGGAACAAAGTGACCTCGGCAACTGGGTGTCACCGACGCACCCGTTCAATTTCCTCAAAATCTGGATGGGTGAAAGACCTGCCGTTACAGGCAGTCCTCGACTTATGACACAGTTCAGCCCAAGATCTCTGTTGGTAAATGAGACATTTGCTAAGGGAGCTTTGCCCCATTTTACTCCCTTTCTCGCCACCATTGTTAAGCAAATCGCTGCAGCTGTCAAATTAGTAACCCGGTCGTTAAGTGAATCTGGCTCCCTCCCTTGACTTTGCTTGTCAGACGGTCACAGAAGGGGATCACGGCACCCGCTCCGGGATGCTGCAAAACCGTCATGAATAGGGGTCAGTTGCTGAGCGCCTGAATTTTGACCCTTGGGAGGCTGCAACGGTCGCAAGGGTGAAAAAGGATCCTCAGTGCCATTGCAACTTCAAACGGTCACTGAGCGAACTGCTGTGAGCCGAGGATTGCCTGCATTAGTAAAGGTAAAATCTTCATTTCAGGGTTCCACCAGGAACTTAATCTTAATCTTAATCTCTCTGAATTAAAAGGAACCAGAGTCCATTGGTGGCCCTTAGAGTGGATCCCTCTGGTCTCAGGGCGGAGAAGGGTTGGCTGGAAACGTTTCCATACTCTTGTCTGCCAATCCTTCCTCCCTCCCTTCCTTCCCCCCTCCCTCCCTCCCTCCTTCCTTCCTCCCTTCCTCCCTTCCTCCTTTCCTTCCTTCCCTCCCTCCCTCCCTTCCTCTCTCCCTTCCTTCTCCCCTCCCTCCCTCCCTCCTTCCTCCCTTCCTCCCTCTCTCCCTTCCTTCCCCCCTCCCTCCCTCCCTCCCTCCTTCCTCCCTTCCTCCCTTTCTCCCTCCCTTCCTCCCTCCCTCCCTCCCTCCATTCTTCCCTTTCCTTCCTTCCTTCTTTTCTTCCTTCCTTCTTCCCTGAAGATCAAACTTCCTCCCTCCCTCCCTTTCTCCCTTCCTGCATTTCTTCCTCCCTCCTTTTTTCCTCCTTCCTCCCTCCCTCCCTCCCTCCTTCCTTCCCTTCTCTTCCCTTCCTCTTCCTTCCTTCATTCCTTCCTTCTCTCCTGAAAATCCAACTTCCTCCCTCCCTCCTTCCTTCCCTTCCCTTCCCCTTCCTTCCTTCCTTCGTTCCTTCCTTCGTTCCTTCCTTCCTTCCTTCCTTCCTTCCTTCCTTCCTTCCTTCCTTCCTTCTCTCCTGAAGATCCAACTTCCTCCCTCCCTCCTTCCCTTCCTTTCTGGTTTGGTCTCCTGAAGCCCAAAGGGAGACTCAACCTCCCAACAGCCCAAGGCTGGGAGGGGGCTGCCCCACACCAGGGAACCCGGCGGGGCCCTTTCCATCCAGAATGCGCGAAGGGCTCCTTCCGTCACCTTCACTTTGGTGAGCAGGGTTATGAGGTGCTCCTGGTACAAGATCATCAGAGCATCGATCGCACTGGAGGGCAGAAAGAAAGAAGCCGTTTTCCCTTCTTTGGTGGGCAGGTCGTCGGGGAGCGGATCACATTTGAACGGTATTGCTTCCCCGTTTTTCTTTTCTATTTTAATCTGGACAAAGGAAGCACAAAGACCAGCGTCATGGTTTCAAAAGCAACTGAAACGCCCCCAAGGACACCCCGGATCGGACGGGGGCCGGGCTTGTCCCCAACGTGGCCCTGGTCCTGGACATCCCCTCCCTCCTTCCAGTTTCATCCTGGGCACCGGCCCTCCACCTCAGACCAAAGTCCGCCGGGCAGTCCTACGTTGGTGGCTGGTAAAGGAGCCAGAATCTCATCCCTGCGCAAGTCTGTTTATTGCCTCTCTACCTCTTGCCACGGAGAGTAAGCTTCGGGGTAGGGGGAGTAGGTTTTGGGACACCGGCTTGTGGCTAGGGAACATTTGACCCGGTGCCTTTGATGGTCTGGCTTCCACAATCCCGAGACCATCTAACACAGGGGGAGGCGACCTTGGCTCTTTTATGACTGGTGGACTTCAACTCCCAGAATTCCTGAGCCAGCCATACTGAGAGGAAAGGGAGAGGTTTCCAAGCTGAGCCAGGCTGGCTCGGGAATTCTGGGAGTTGAAGTCCACGAGTCATGAGGGGGCCATAGTTTCCCCATGCTGGCTCAGGAATTCTGGGAGTTGAAGTCCACGAGTCATGAGGGGGCCATAGTTCCCCCATGCAGGCTCAGGAATTCTGGGAGTTGAAGTCCACCAGTCATGAGGGGGCCATAGTTTCCCCATGCTGGCTCAGGAATTCTGGGAGTTGAAGTCCACCAGTCATGAGGGGGCCATAGTTCCCCCATGCTGGCTCAGGAATTCTGGGAGTTGAAGTCCACCAGTCATGAGGGGGCCATAGTTCCCCCATGCAGGCTCAGGAATTCTGGGAGTTGAAGTCCACCAGTCATGAGGGGGCCATAATTCCCCCATGCTGGCTCAGGAATTCTGGGAGTTGAAATCCACGAGTCATGAGGGGGCCATAGTTCCCCCATGCTGGCTCAGGAATTCTGGGAGTTGAAGTCCACCAGTCATGAGGGGGCCATAGTTCCCCCATGTTGGCTCAGGAATTCTGGGAGTTGAAGTCCACCAGTCATAAAAGGGCCAGGTTTGAAGACCCCTGGTTTAAATATTTAAATATTTTTCCTCACGGTCACATGATCAAAATTCAGGCATTAGGGCAGGGGTAGACAACCTTGGCTGTTTTATGACTGGTGGACTTCAACTCCCACAATTCCTGAGCCAGCATGTGGGAACAATGGCCCCCTCATGACTTCTGGACTTCAACTCCCACAATTCCTCAGCCAGCATGGGGAAACTGTAGCACTTTCATGACTTGTGGACTTCAACTCCCAGAATTCCTGAGCCAGCATGGGGGAACTATGGCCCCCTCATGACTCGTGGATTTCAACTCCCAGAATTCCTGAGCCAGCATGGGGGAACTATGCCCCCCCCCATGACTGGTGGACTTCAACTCCCAGAATGGAATGGAATGGAACGGAACGGAACGGAACAGAATAGAATAGAATGGAAAATATCTTTTTAAAGAAATGTATACAAACTATGTTTCCATTTCGTGAGGCTCTTAGCCTAAATAAAAACAAGTATGATACATGTAGATATTATTTTTAAAAATATTATCCTTCCAGGTGTTGGAGGTTTTTAAGAAAAGATTGGACAGCCATTTGTCTGAAATGGTATGCCTTCTCCTGCTTGAGCAGGGGGTTGGACTAGAAGACCTCCATGGTCCCTTCCAATTTTGCTTGTCTAGGGAGGTTCTTAGTCACCCAGGTCACAGTTGTCCCAAGAGGGCTTTTTCAAGAGGCCACTGGACTTTCTTGTTTTTCTTTGAAGACCTTTCGCTTCTCATCCCAGAAGCTTCCTCAGCTCTGACTGGATGGTGGGAGACAGGGAAGGGACCCAGGGCAGAAGACATCCTGCAGCCAAGAAGGCTCCACACCCATTTGCACCCCTCAGGTGACCCTGAGGACAGAGGTGAACCTCCAGGTGGCCTCAAGGACTCTCCAAAAGAAGGCAAAGGACCGGCTGTCTGCAAGGAGTATAAATCCTTCCCTTCCCCACCATTCGGTCAGAACCTGAGGAAGCTTCTGGGATGAGAAGCGAAACATCTTCAAAGGAAACGTCTGTGGAGATTCTCAGCCGTCCAGTTCCTGGTTGTCCCAAATTTGCTTTTTCAGGAGGCACCTGGACTTCCTTGTGTTTCTTTGAAGAAGTTTCGCTTCTTCTCCCAGAAGCTTCTTCAGGTTCTGACTGGATGGTGGGGAAAGGGAAGGATTTATACTCCTTGCAGAAAGCTGGTCCTTTGCCTCCTTTCAGAGGGTTGTTGGTGCTATTTGGACACAGATAAACCTCCAGGTGGCCTCAAGGACTCTTCAAAAGAAGGCAAAGGACCGGCTGTCTGCAAGGAGTATAAATCCTCCCATTCCCCACCACCCAGTCAGAACCTGAAGAAGCTTCTGGGATGAGAAGCGAAAGGTCTTCAAAGGAAAAACAAGAAAGTCCAGTGGCCTCCTGAACAGAGCACCTTTAATTCTTCCAGCTCTGCTATCTTATAATCTGTTCTTCTCTCCTTCTGTTATGATTCCTGGTCTATCGAGAAGCTGAACCGTGAGACAGGATGAAGCCGATCAACGTCCACCTTCCCTTCTCCACAATTAAGCCGTGAAACCTGATGTCTCAAGGTACCAACCACAACGTTTCAGGAGATAAACAGAATGACAGAGTGGGAAGGGACCTTGGAGGTCTTCTAGTCCAACCCCCTGCTCAAGCGGGAAGACCCTTACACCATCTAATCCCTTCTTGAACATCTCCAGTGACGGAGCACCTTCAACTTCTGGAGGCCAGGCCTTCCACTGGTGAATTATTCTAATTATCATTTGTCTTTTTTTTTTTATCTTGCCAGATGAAGTGTATAGTGTTTGCTGACTTTTGGGAAGAGCTGGTTGACCTGATTGGGGAAAAGATACTCCTAGTGCCCCCTGGTAAAAAAAAAAAAAAACTGGGGTTGTGTTTAAAATGTTTAAAAATATGTCAGATAGATGTTGGAAATGTAAACATAACTCAGGCACATATTATCATATTTGGGGGACATGCGGTAAAGCAGTGTTTCCCAAACTTGACAATTTTAAGGCATGTGGACTTCAACTCCCAGAATTCCACAGCCAGCAATGCTGGCTGTGGAATTCTGGGATTTGAAGTCCACATGCCTTAAAATTGTCAAGTTTGGGAAATACTGCGGTAAAGCAAAGGCTTATTGGAAAAAGATACATGTTTGGTTAGAAAAAATGTTGGGAGAACACGTGGAATTTAAACCTGAACTTTTTCTATTAGGAGGTATAATGCCAGAAAAGACTAATAAACAAAGTTTATATTTGGCTTTACACGTCATAACAGCAGCAAGGATAAACTTTGCGCAACATTGGAAGAATGAAGGAGTTTCCACCAGAGGAAGAAGTAATTAAAAAAATATTGGAATGCGCAGAGATGGACAGATTAACGATGAGATTGAAAGATAAAGAAGAAACAGAATACCACCAAATCTGGGAGTTATTCTACAAATGGCTAGAGGAAAGAATCAAGGATTAGGAATTGATTATGTATTAGCGTTTTTGAATCCAGACAGCACGCGGGTTGAAAAATTAACGCATGTATGTAAGAAAAAAACTAATAAAATCCTCATTAAAAAAAACTGGGGTTGTGATAAATAACATATCCATCCACTCTTACCTTGAGAATAAAGCTGATGTGAGTTGCGTAGACAACCGGTTTTTCTGCCACTTCGTACACAATATAGCCAATATTCCCTATAGGTTTCTTTGCTATGAAAGATACACATTGCATTAAAATATGGTTCCATCAAGCAGTTTCTCCAGCCAGATATAACTCCTGGGCTTCCCAAAAGACCCTATGGCAGTGGTTCTCAACCTTTTTAATGCCGCGACCCCCAACCGGTCGTAAGTCGAGGACTACTCAACCGGTCGTAAGTCGAGGACTACTCAACTGGTGCAGCACCGTTTGCAGAATGGGCCTTTTGGCGGGCTCAGCAGGGCAGAGATAGCCTGGACAATTCCTATTGGCTTTTGAAAGCCAATAAAATTAGACTCTATTCAAGAGAGTCTATTCTATTGGCTTTCAAAAGCCAATAGAATAAAAGGGAGTAGCACAGCTAAGGAAAAGGGGGGAAAAAATGGCGGACTGTGTTGTTTGGCGACCCCCGTGAAATGGTCGTTCGACCCCAAATGGGGTCCCAACCCACAGGTGGAGAACCACTGCCCTATGGTATTTCTGCCAGTGAGAACTCAGCTAAAAACACAAATTGGTGTTTGCAAGACTATAGGGCAACCAGGTCCACGCTAGCTATAAATCGTGGCTTGTAAACCACTGTGGCAGGATTCACACAAGACACTAAGCCAAATCACCAGAAGCTGAGTGTTGGGTGACTTTAGCCCAGGGGTCCTCAAGCTTGGCCCTTTTATGACTTGTGGACTTCAGCTCCCAGGATTCCTTGTGCCTGGCTGAGGAATTCTGGGAGTTGAGGTCCACAAGTCATAAAAGGCTCATAGTTCCCTCACTCTGGCTGAGGAATTCTGGGAGTTGAAGTCCACTAGTCATAAAAGGGTCCTAGTTCCCTCACGCTGGCAGAGGAATTCTGGGAGTTGAAGTCCACAAGTCATGAAAGGGCCAAGTTTGAAGACTCCTGCTTTAGCCAATACAGGTAGTTTTCAATTTTCAAACAGTTCGTTTAGTGACCTTTCAAAGTTACAACAGTGCTGGAAAGAGGGCCATATGATCATTTTCCACACTTACAACCGTGGCAGCATCCCCGTGGTCATGTGATTAAAATTCAGACACACGGCAAAGGACTCATATTTATGACCTTCCGACCAGCAAAATTAATGGAGAAGCCAGATTCACTTAACAACTGCGTGACACACTGCACTCTGCTTGGGATTTTAGTTCTTGATCATTTATCCGACCTTCCTAAAGGTTGACTGGATCCAACACTCTTATTTCACCTTAGAGGACATCCCAAGTGGGATAACCTGACCCCCACCAATTGTCCATGGAGAATTCTCCATCCTCCAGGTCCTGGTTGTCCCAAAGGGACTTTTTCAAGAGTCAACTGGACTGTCTTGTTTTTTTTCTTTGAAGACGTTTCGCTTCTCATCCCAGAAGCTTCTTCAGGTTCTGACTGGATGGTGGGGAAGGGAAGGATTTATACTCCTGGTCACTTGCCTTCTTTTAGAGGGTCCTTGAGGCCACTTGGAGGTTGACCTGTGTCTCTCTAAAAGAAGGCAAAGGACCAGCTGTCTGCAAGGAGTATAAATCCTTCCCTTCCCCATCATCCAGTCAGAACCTGAAGAAGCTTCTCGGATCAGAAACGAAACGTCTTCAAAGAAAAAACAAGACAGTCCAGTTGCCTCCTGAAAAAAGCCCCTTTGGGACCCCCACCCCAATTGCAAAGAGAAAAGGTCAACTAAAGAACTGACTTGGGGGAGCGGGGTCTTCAGATTCTCTCCTCCCCAAAGAAGTAGGAAAAACTCAAAATTCAGACTTTGGGGTGCTAGCATATCCCCAAACTGTCTCTTGTAGCCCTCCAGAAGGTCAAGGCATCAGACCCAGCTTTGGTCACCTGTTCCTTTCTTACGTTCTACCTTCAGGTCCGAGACGATGGGGCCCCCTGGGCTGTCACGATGAGAAAGAACAGCTAAACCCCAGCTAAACTCCCTTAAATTCCAAAAAGAAACGATCCGGCTGCTTGGGGAAGCGAAAGTAAAAGCTGTACCTCCTCAAGATGCTGCCTCAAGGTCACCCAGCTGGAAAAAGCAGGGGGCCGCACCCCAAACTGGGCTTGGACTGACCCGTTAGGAAAGCATCTTTCCCGAACCCGATTGGTTACACTGGGAAGGGGCAACGGGAGACCGTTAAGGGAGGGAAGAATAGAATTCATGGATTTCGGTGCGCGATTCTCAGTTCTGGTTTTGCACTATTACGATGCGCTTGATCCCTAATAAGTTCTACCTTTCTCAACGAATGGAGGTTTGAGTTGTGGCAGGCCTGACAGAAACGAAGACACTCACCCAGGATTTTGTAAAATGATTCCTTTAGTTTTGTCATCATCAAGTCAGCCGCTGGGCACAACTGGAAAGCAAGGGATCCAGAAAAGGAGATATGACTGGACAACAACAGCAGGTTCCTGGGATCAAATGGGGCTTGAGACAGATCTTCACTGGGGGGGGAGCAGGTGGGGACTCTAAGGGTGACAAATCCCACCCTGTAGACAACCGTGCAGACTCATTTCTCTGCCCGTGTTCAACCTCCGTGCACGCCACCACACCGGCCAGCACTTTAAGCCAGCATTGGAAGGCGATGTGCCCTCACATGTCTCCTAAAACTCATTGAGTTCCCCCCAATATTTTTGGAGCCCGGGAACTTGGCTGCAGCAGGACCCCAGAGAGGCGGGGAGAGGATGCAACCTCTGATGTATTAGTATAAGGCTTTATAAAGCCTTAGTATGGCCACCCCTGGAATCCTGCATCCAGTTTTGGTCACCACACACTACCCAAAAAAAAAAAAAAAAGATGTTGAGACTTTGGGAAAAAGGGAAGAGAAAAGCAACTAGGATGATTAAAGGCCTGGAGAGTAAAATATATGAAGTTGCAGGATTTGGATATGGCTAGTTCTCGAGAAAAGAAGGACTAGATTGACTTGATAGCAATCTTCCAGTATTTGAGGAGCTGCTACAAAGAAGAGGGGGGGGGGGTCAACCTATTTTCCAAAGCACCAGAGGACAAGAAAAGAAACAGCGGATGGAAACTCATCAAGGAGAGAAGCAAGAAGAGGCTAGACAGTCACTTGTCTGAGATAGTATAGGTTCTCCTGCTTGAACGGAGGGCTAGACTAGAAGACCTCCAAGGTCCCTTCCAGTTCTACTCTAGTCTACTCTACTCTACTCTACTCTATACTCTACTCTATACTTTACCCTAGTCTACTCTATTCTACTCTACTTTACTCTACTCTACTCTACTCTACTTTACTCTATACTCTACTCTACTCCACTCTATACTGTACTCTACTCTACTTTAGTCTAGTCTAGTCTAGTCCAGTCTATTCTTCATTATTCTATTCTATTCATCATTATTCTATTCTATTCTATTCTATTCTATTCTTCATTGTTTATTCTCTTCTGTTCTTCATTATTCTATTCTATTCTTCATTATTCTATTCAATTTTATTCTTCATTATTCTATTCTATTCTATTCTTCATTATTCGATTCGATTCTATTCTATTCCTGTATTATACGCAGAAAACAACAAAGTAAACTCAATTCAATCAATCAAAATAGAGCTGGAAGGGACCTTGGAGGTCTTCTAGTCCAACCCCCTGCTCAGGCAGGAGACCGTATACTACTTCAGACAAATGGCTGTCCAGCCTCTTCTTTAAAACTTCCATTGATGGAGCACCCACAACCTCTGGAGGAAAGCCATTTCACTAATTAATTGTCCTCACTGTCAGCAAGTTTTTCCTTAGTTTCAGGTTGCTTCTCTCCCTGATTAGTTTTCATCCGTTGCTTCTTGTCCTGCCTTCAGGTCCTTTGGAGAAGAGCTTGACTCCCTCTTCTTTGGGGCAGCCCCTCAAATACTGGAAAACCGCTGTCATGTCCCCCCTAGTCCTTCTTTTCTCTAGACTGGCCATACCCAATCCCTGCAACCGTTCTTTGTATGTTTTAGTCTCTAGTCCCCTGATCATCCTAGTTGCTCTTCTCTGCACTTTTTTCCAAAGTTTCAACAACTTTTTTGTAATGTGGTGGCCAAAACTGGATGCAGCATTCCAGGTGCGGCCTTACTAAGGTTTTATCAAGTGTTACCAAAGTAGTTAACTTGAACTCTTCAAGCAAGGGTCTATTACTACGTGCCTGGAATTACTAAATGGGATCTGAAATGTGTCTCTCCTGCCCAAACTATGGGATAAGGTGGACTCACGGGGAGCAAAGAGGTCCCTGGCCTCCACCCCATCCTTCCAGGTCCGTGATTCTACCATCATAAAGCCCCCAGACTTACCACACCCGGCATGACTTTCCCGAGTGTAGAATCCAAAAACTTATTCACGATTTTGGGAAGCATGCTGAAAGAGAAGACGAGAAATGGAAGGAATTATAAAGTACAAGTAATCTTTCACCCCAATTCAGCCCAACATTTATGAATGTCTGGTCGTGTCTTCTGATGCTTTGAAGCATAAGTGGACCCCCCTCTTCTTTGGGGCAGCCCCTGAGATACTGGAACACAGCTATCCTGTCCCCCCTCGTCCTTCTCTTCGTTAAACTAGACAGACCCAATTCCAGCAACTGTTCCTTGTAAGTTTGATCCTCCAATCCCCTAATCCTCTTTGTTGCTCTTCTCTGCTCTCTTTCCAGAGTCTCAACATCTTTTTTTTTACATTATGGTGACCAAAACTGGATGCAGGATTCCAGGTGTGGCTTTACTAAAGCTTTATCAAGTGGTACTAATATTTCACGTGATTTTGATTCTATGCCTCTGTTTATACAGCTAAGGATTGTATTAATAGAATAGAATAGAATAGAATAGAATAGAATAGAATAGAATAGAATAGAATAGAATAGAATAGAATAGAATAGAGTGGGGTGGGGTGGGGTGGGGTGGGGTGGGGTGGGATGGGATGGGATAGAATGGGATGGGATGGGATGGGATGGGATGGATGGGATTGTATGAATAGAATAGAATAGAAGAATAGAATAGAATAGAATAGACTAGAATAGAATAGAATAGAATAGAATAGAATAGAATGGGATGGGAATAGAATAGAATAGAATAGAATAGAATAGAATAGAATAGAATAGAATAGAATAGAATAGAATAGGATGGGATGGGATGGGATGGGATGGGATGGGATGGGATGGGATGGGATGGGATGGGATGGGATGGGATGGGATGGGATGGGATGGGATTGTATTAATAAATAGAATAGAATAGAACAGAATAGAACGGACCGGAACAGAACAGAACAGAAAGGAACGGAACGGAACGGAACAGAACAGAACAGAACAGAACAGAACAAAATAGAATAGAATAGAATAGAATAGAATAGAATAATAACTTTATTGTCACTTTGAATGTACACTTAATCAGCATACATTAAAACGAAATTTTGTTGCATAAAGCTCTCAAAGTGTTACCACCTCCAAACTACACTACATAAATAAACAAACAAACAAACAAATAAATACAGAATTATGCATATACCCACATATATTATATGACACAGAGAAACAACACCGTCTAGTTCTGGTTCTGTATACTTGTGCGCGGCGAGCCGAAAGGACTCCGACTGCAAGATCCCTCTTATAGAGTCAGGAACCGCCTATTATTCTATTCCTCTGCCTCTGGTTTTTCTTGCCTAAATGTAGAACCTTGTTCTTTTTTCTCACCGCAGAATGTCCGTTTGCTAGAGAGGGCCCTGTGTTCGAGTCTGACATGCCTTGTGGGTTCTCACCTGCTGGGAAGGTTGGTTTTACAGGACTTCACCGCCACCTTACAATCCGTGACCTTCAGAAGCAGTTCACTGCTCGGCAAGATTAAAATCTTGCCCGTCGTGTTAAATTCGCCACCCACGGTGATTGTCATCTGTCCGCCAATAAAGCTGGAAAAAAGAAAGAAAGAAAGAAAGAAAGAAAGAAAGAAAGAAAGAAAGAAAGAAAGAAAGAAAGAAAGAAAGAAGAAAGAAAAGAAAGAAAGGAAGGAAGGAAGGAAGGAAGGAAGGAAGAAAGAAAGAAAGAAAGAAAGAAAGAAAGAAGGAAGGAAGGAAGGAAGGAAGGAAGGAAGGAAGGAAAGAAAGAAAGAAGGAAGGAAGGAAGGAAGGAAGGAAGGAAGGAAGGAAGGAAGGAAGGAAAGAAAGAAAGAAAGAAAGAAAGAAAGAAAGAAAGAAAGAAAGAAAGAAAGAAAGAAAGAAAGAAAAGGGGTGATGTTGGGAGCAGATTTGCTGGAACGACTGCACCCCTAGCAGGCCCACAAGGCAACGTCGAGCCGAGGTGGCGCAGCAGTTAGAGTGCAGTAGTGCAGGCCACTTTAGCTGACTGTGTTCAGCAGGTCAGCGGTTCAAATCTCACCGGCTCAGCCTCCCATCCTTCCGGGGTAGGTAAAATGAGGACCCAGATTGTTGGGGGCAATGTAAATATATATATATATACATTGCTTACTGGTGTACACCGCTTAGAGAGTGCTTGCACTTAAAGCGGTATATAAGTCTCATAAATAAATAAATAAATAAATAAATGTCTAGGGAGATTCTGCATCATCCAGCTCAAGAGTTTTCCGTAAGGCAGCTAAACTTTCATGGGTTTGGGGTTTTTTTAAAAAATATCCAGAGAATTTTTTGGAATATCCAGAGAATTTTTAGAAGGAGGGTAAAATTTACTCCGCAATTATTTCTGTTGGGCATTGTTACAGATTGTGATACAAAGGAGGTTGTATTGATGTTAAATTTGATTACAGCCGCGAGGCTGTTAGTTGGACAATATGGGAAGAAGGAATCTTTGCCTACACTGCAGGAATGGTTTCTTAAAGTGTCCTATTTGGCGGAAATGGCAAAGATTTCGGCTTTCTTAAAGCAACAAACGCAAGAGAAGTTTCTTGCCGTTTGGGACAAATGGATAAAATTTATACAATTTAGATTGGGTATAAAAAAATATCACATAGTTTTTTCATAAGTTTTATTTTTATATATAGAGAATGTTATATATAGATACTTTTTTATATATATATAAATATAAATTTTTTAATTTAATTTTTATCTTTATTTGTTAATTTTTAACTAAGCCTATATTCTGCTCTGGGAAGCTCGGGGGGGGGAAGGGAGGGCGTTTGTGAGGGGTGGGGGATGGGGTTTTTTTTTATATGTTTAGTTTTTTATTTTTTTATATTTTTTTTGTATATGTTGTTTTTTGTTTTGTATTGTTTTTGTTTTTTTGTAAAATTTATAAAACTTTCAATAAAAAAAAATATATTTTGCTTGTCGTCCAAGGGGAATGGAAGGATTTACATTCTTGGCAGCCATCTGGTTATTAGTAATAATAATAATAATAGTAAAATTGGAAGGGACCTTGGAGGTCATCTAGTCCAACCCCCTGCTCAGGCAGGAAACCCTACACCATTTCAGACAAATGGCTGTCCAGTCTCTTCTTAAAAACTTCCAGGGGTGGAGCATTCACCGCTTCTGGAGGCAGGTTGTTCCACTGGTTAATTGTTCTCACTGTTAGGAAGTTTCTCCTTAGTTCCAGGTTGCTTCTCTCCTTGATTTGTTCCCATCCATTGCTTCTTGTCCTGCCTTCAGGCGCTTTGGAGAATAGCTTGACTCCTTCTTCTTTGAGGCAGCCCCTGAGATACTGGAAGGCTGCTATCATGTCCCCCCTCGTCCTTCTCTTCATTAAATTAGACATACCCAATTCTAGCAACCGTTCTTTGTATGTTTTAGCCTCCAGTCCCCTAGTCATCTTTGTTGCTCTTCTCTGCACTCTTTCCAGAGTCTCAACATCTTTTTTACATCGTGGTGACCAAAACTGAAGAGCCGAGGTGGGGCAGCAGTTAGAGTGCAGTACTGCAGGCCACTTTAGCTGACTGTGTTCAGCAGGTCAGCGGTTCAAATCTTACCGGCTCAAGGTTGACTCAGCCTTCCATCTTTCCGGGGTACGGAAAGGTCCCAGATTGTTGGGGGCAATGTAAATATATATATACATTGCTTACTGGTGTATACCGCTTAGAGAGTGTTCGCACTTAAAGCGGTATATAAGTCTCATAAATAAATAAATAAATAAACTGGATGCAGTATTCCAGGTGTGGGCTTACCAAGGCCTTATAAAGTGGTATTAACCCTTCACATGATCTTGATTCTCTCCCTCTGTTAATGCAGCCTAGCACTGTGTTGGCCTTTTTGGCAGCTGCAGCACACTGCTGGCTCATATTTAGGTGATTGTCTACTAGGACTCCGAGGTCCCTCTCACAGTTACTACTATTGAGCATGGTGCCACCTATGCTGTACTTGTGCAATTGGTTTTCTCTCTGAGAATCGCTGAAGCCCCTTGATCTCTCTCCTCTATCCAAGTGGCCTCAGCGACTCCCAGAACGAGTGCTAATGATCAGATGACTGCAAAGAATAACAAATCTTTCCATTCCCCACCAGTCAGCTAAAGCTACTACCTTTAGGTGCTTTGGAGAAAGGGTTGATCCCCTCATCTTTGTAGGAACCCCTCAAAAATTGGAATGGTGCTGTCATGTCACCCCTGGTCCTTCTTTTCATTAGAATAGACCTACCCAATGGATAGGTCTAATCTATCTGGTCCACATCCATGACCAAAACTGGGCTCTCACTCACCTTTTCCCAGAAATTGAGATGATAATAAATAGATCTGTAATGATTATGTAATTTCCTTTTAAGATGATGATAATACTGGGTATCTCCATGTTCTCAATTTTCAACCTACGAGAGTAAGGAAGAGAGTGTGAAGAATAGCAGAGGAACACATGTTTTGCTGATGGGGAGAATTAGATGAAGGCCTTGGCGAATCCGCTTAAATGCCTACAAATGAATGCAACTCGGAGTTGTGTATACGTTCTCAGGGGAATCACAGACCCATCTTTGGGTTCTCTGGACTGAATTCCAGTCCTGCTCCCATTGCTAACTTTCTAATCAAACGATGCTCGGCAGATTGATAGCCCTCTTGTTCCTGCCCGTCCCTTGAGGTGGCCACGGATTGGATTCCTTTGTGGATGGACTCTCATCCATGGGAATATCAGATTTGGGAGGGACCTTGGAGGTCTTCTAGTCCAACCCTCTGTCCAGCAAGAGACCCTAAAGCATTCTGGACCAATGGCTGTCCAGACAAGACTAAGTCCAAGATTAAGCCTTCTTGTTCTTGTCTATGGAGACTCTCCATCATTGAGGTTAAGGTTGTCCCCGAAGATGCTTTCTTTACAAGAGACAGGTGGACTTCCTTTGTTGTTTTTCCTTGAGGACATCTCACCTCTCATCCAAGAAGCTCCTTCAGTTCAAAACTGAAGAAGTCCGTGGAGATTCTGTGTCCTCCAGGTCACGGATGTCCCAGAGGTGCTTTTTCTCGACTTTCTTGTTTTCCTTTGAAGATGTTTCACTTCTCATCCAAGGCTGAAGAAGATTCTTGGACGAGAAGAGAAAGGTCTTCAAAGGAAAACAAGGATGTCCACTTGCCTCCTGAAAAAGCGCCTGTGGGTGAGCTGAAGTAACTTCTCGGATGAGAAGCGAAACGATTTCAAGGAAAAACAAAGACAGTCCAGCCGCGGCTTGAAAACAGAAGCACCGTTGGGCCTTTCCTATTCTTCATTATTTCTGCTGTCCTAGAACGGCATTCTGAGTAGGAACTAGGCCAGGGGCAGGCAACCTTGGCTCTTTTATGACTTGTGGACTTCAACTCCCAGAATTCCTGAGCCAGTTGGTGGAAACTTTGGCCCCCTCATGACTGGTGAACTTCAACTCCCAGAATTCCTCAGCCAGCCTGGCTCAGCTTGGAAGCCTCTCCCTTTCCCCTCAGCATGGCTGGCTCAGGAATTCTGGGAGTTGGAGTCCACCAGTCATAAAAGAGCCAAGGTTGCCTACCCCTGACCTAGAGTCTTGCCCTCTGTCCACATCTGTTGGGTCTTCAACTATTGGCTGGAAACTTCTAGAAGCCTGCTGGGGGTCAAACCTCAGACTTCCCCTTGGCTGCCCCAGAGGAGATGAGTCAACTCACCCTTTGATGCCTTTGATCATCTTGCTATTGTCCCCGTTTTTCATGGCTTTCATTATCATGTCCTCCAAAATGTTCCCTCGAACAATGATGACCTGGACCACTAAGACAGGAAGTTCAGGGCTTAGCTCAAATGAGGTGCTCTCCTAGTGCAAGGTGACGTGTCCCAGCAGGGGTGGGCAGGAGCCACCCTTCCTTTTAGCCCAGTGGCCGTTCCATCAGGGACATCCGGGTGAGGAAAAGAGGGCCACAAAGAAGCAGCCATGCCCAACTCACACCGCGAAACTTTGTCCCATGAGGAAGAGGCTCATCCCAGCACTAGAGGGGGGCCCCCATCTCCCCTCACAGCTCCTGGAGCCCTTCCCCACCCCTGGCGCTGAAAACACGGCTGCTATTAGCTTCTACTCCAGGGAAGGAGAGGAGGAGGAGGAGGAGGAGGAGGAAATAATTGTATGACGTAATACAATTATTAAATGAACAAGACGGCAGGTTCAACAAACTTGGTGGAAGGAAGGAAGGAAAGAAGGAAGGAAAGAAGGAAGGAAGGAAGGAAGGAAGGAAGGAAGGAAGGAAGGAAGGAAGGAAGGAAGGAAGGAGAAGAGAAAAGGAGAGAGGAAGGAGAAGGGAAGGAAGGAGGGAGGAAGGAAGGAAGAGGGAGCAAGGGAGGGAGGGAGGAAAGAAGGGAGGGAGGGAGGGAGGAGGGAGGAGGGAAGAAGGGAAAATGATAGAAAAGGAAAATGGAAGGAAGGAAGGAAGGAAGGAAGGAAGGAAGGAAGGAAGGAAGGAAGGAAAATGATAGAAAAGGAAAATGGAAGGAAGGAAGGAAGGAAGGAAGGAAGGAAGGAAGGAAGGAGAAGAGAAAAGGAGGGAGGGAGGGAGGGAGGGAGGAGAAGGGAAGGAAGGAGGGAGGAAGGAAGGAAGGAAGGAAGAGGGAGCAAGGGAGGGCAGAAGCGAGGGAGGGAGAGAGGAAAGAAGGGAGGGAGGGAGGGAAGAAGGGAAAATGATAGAAAAGGAAAATGGAAGGAAGGAAGGAAGGAAGGAAGGAAGGAAGGAAGGAAGGAAGGAAAAGAGAAAAGGAGGGAGGGAGGGAGGGAGGGGAAGGGAAGGAAGGAGGGAGGAAGGAAGGAAGAGGGAGCAAGGGAGGGCAGAAGGAAGGGAGGAAAGAAGGGAGGGAGGGAGGAAAGGAGGAAGGAAGGAAGGAAGGAAGGAAGGAAGGAAGGAAGGAAGGAAGGAAGGAAGGAAGGAAGGAAGGAAGGAAGGAAGGAAGGAAGGAAGGAGGTCTTTGCATTAAATGGGAACAGGGGACAGGACGACGATTCCCATCTTGAATCGATGCCTGGAGTGTTGGGGAGAGAATATTTTCAACTAACTACTAGGAGAAAACCTGGTGATAGAAACAAAGTTCTCCACATTTCCAGCTTTCAGCGTCTTCCTACTTTTACGTGGCTGAGAAAGAAGGAACTGGAAAACCCATTTATTTCATTCCAAAATCAAAAGTCTTCCTCCCTCCCTCCGTCTCTCTTTCTTTTCTTCTCTCTTTCTCCTTTCTTTTTTCCATCCTTCCTTTTCTTTCCTTTTCTTTTCTTTATTTATTCCCCTCTTTCATTCTTTCCTCTCTTCCTTTTTTCTTCCTTCTCTCCTCCCCCTCCTTTCTTTCTGTCTTTTTCTCTTTCTTCTTTCTCTTTCTTTCTCCCTCCGTTTCCATATTCTTCCTTGCTCTTTCTTTCATTTCGTTCTTCTCTTTCTTTTTATCCCTTCCTTTCCATGTCCTTCCTTCCTCCCTCCCTCTGTCCCTCTTTCTTTTCTTTTTTCTTTCTTTCTACTCATCCCTCTCTCCTTCCCCCTCCCTCCTTTCCTTTCTCCTTCCTTTCTTCCTTTCTCCTTCCTTCCATTCTTCTTCCTTCCTATCCCAAAATCTATCCTTCCTTCCTTCCTTTTCCTTCCTTCCTTCCTCCCTCCCTCTGTCTTTCTTTCTTTTCTTTTTTCTTTCTTTTTACTCATCCCTCTCTCCTTCCACCCTCCCTCCCTCCTTTCCTTTCTCTTTCCTTCTTTCTTTCCTTCCTTCCTTTCTCCTTCCTTTGTCCTTCCTTCCTTCCTATCCCAGAATCTATCCTTTCTTCCTTCCTTGCTTGCTTCCTACCTTCCTTCCACCCTCCCTCCCTTGCTCCCTCTCTCCCTTCCTTCCTTCCTTCCTTCCTTCCTTCCTTCCTTCCTTCCTTCCTTGCTCCTCCCTCCCTCCCTCCCTCTATGCAAACTGTTGTTTGAAATTTCCCCCCCTATTCTTACAACCATCTCAGCCATTTAACTTACTGCGCAATAGTGTCGGTGGCTCAAATTTCACGTTAGCTTTACAGGAATCTCCTAATTCCGAAGGCCCCATTGCGACACAGAAGAAGACCAGCACCCCAACCCAGGGCATCTTGAGGGCTAGATCCATGGTGACTGACAGAAAGTCAGCAACGAATCCTTGGCTGTGAACATGTGGAATGACAACATCCGTCTTTAGATTCAGGGAATAAAGAAAAGGCCGGATTTTGCTCTAGGCCAGGGGTCTTCAAACTTGGCCCTTTGATGACTGGTGGACTTCAACTCCCAGAATTCCTCAGACAGGCACGTGTGGGAGTTCTGGGAGTTGAAGTCCACCAGTCATCAAAGGGCCAAGTTTGAAGACCCCTGTCTTAAATCTAACAAACAAAATGGAGCCTGGCTGAGGAATTCTGGGAGTTGAGGTCCACCAGTCATCAAAGGGCCAAGTTTGAAGACCCCTGTCTTAAATCTAACAAACAAAATGGAGCCTGGCTGAGGAATTCTGGGAGTTGAAGTCCATCAGTCATCAAAGGGCCAAGTTTGAAGGCCCTTGGTCTAGGCTGATCACTTCCCATTATGGGATAGGCTCAGTGGCTGAAACTGGCTAACCCTGAGTGGCTGTTAAATAACAGAAATGGTAGCCACGGAGGTGCCCCTCATTGCCCCTCACTCACTTTCTGTCATTTTGATGTTCTGCCCCTATTAACAGAATAACAGAGCTGGAAGGGACCTTGGAGGCCTTCTAGTCCAACCCCCTGCTCAGGCAGGAGAACCTGTTTTGTTTCAGACAAATGGTTACCCAATCTCTATTTTTGGTTCTCCAAACGTACCCAGTTCCCACAACCCTTTATCATATAGTTTAGCCTCCCAGACCCATTATCTTCATTTAGTTTAATGTTTTATGCCGGATGCAGAATAACAGAGTTGGAAGGGACCTTGGAGGTCATCTAGTCCAACCCCCTGCTCAAGCAGGAGAGTCTATACCATTTCAGACAAATGGCTATCCAGTCTCTTCTTAAAAACCTCCAGTGATGGAGCACCCCCAATTTCTGGAGGCAGGCTGTTCCATTGGTTAATTGTCCTCCCTGTCAGGAAATTCCTCCTTAGTTCTAGGTTGCTTCTCTCCTTGGTTGGTTCCTATTAGCTGCTTCTCATCCTGCCTTCAGGGGCTTTGGAGAACAGCTTGACTCCCTCTTCTTTGGGGCAGCCCCTGAGATATTGGAAGGCTGCTAATATGTCCCCCCTGGTCCTTCTCTGCGACAAAGATGTGGTGGGCACCTCAACTCAAGGGACACCGCCCAGAAGGATCTGCTGGCTGTCCAGTCTCTGTAGGAAAGGCAACTGAAGGCCAACAGCGGATTGGGTTTCCAGACATCCCCAGGCCGTAAAATGGACTTTGCTATGACTGCCAAGTGCCCTTGATGCCCCTTCTCTCTAGATGAAAACATCTGGAGGAAACCAACTGAACCATTTTTGAAACCGTGAGAACTTCCATTTGCAACTCTGCAGAAGAAGGCAAGGGTGGCCCCTTCTAAGCCTGCTGGAGTTGCACCCCAGACTCTGGAGGTAAAGATGCAGGAAAGACAGACGGGAGACTCAACCCCAATCCTACGTGTCCATCAACTTTCTCAGAAGGGACTCCTTCCCCCATCTGGGGTACCTTTGGACCTTCACACAGTTCACTTACATGTCTGGATGGATGGAGCTTCCTCAGTGTGCTCAAATCTTTGCCCACTAATCTTCTCTTGGGTTGCCAGTTATATACGTCCCCGTGGATGAAAGAAGCGATTCAGGGCATTGATAACCACGGAGATGTGATCCAAACTCATCAGGGGAACTTCCAAGATAAATATTTTTCACTGACATCTTGAAACTAAGAGATGTTCTTCCGTGCCAGGTGCACATGACTCTTCCAGGTGATCTGACAAGCCAACGGCCTGGAACAGATCATCTGTCCACCGGGTGCCAGAATAAAAGAGAAAAGGGGGAGAGCTAGTCCATCCAACATGCTACACCATGACGCGGTTGATCTAGATTCGGCTTAATGTGTTGTGTGATCCATCAGCAGGTCCCCCAAGGAATCCAATCTCTTGTTGAAAACTTCCAGTGTTGGAGCACCCACAACTTCTGGAGGCAGGTTGTTCCACTGGTCAGTTGTTCTAACAGTCAGGAAGTTTCTCCTTATTTCTAGGTTGCTTCTCTCCTTGATGAGTTTCTATTCGTTACCTCTTGTCCTGCCTTCAGCTGCTTTGGAGAACAGGTGGACCCCCTCTTCTTTATGGCAACCCCTCAAATATTGGAAGTCTTCTATCCCATCACCCCCTGATTTTCATTAAACTAGATACACCCAATTCCTGCAATCAGAATAACAAAAAAACAGAGTTGGAAGGATCCTTGGAGGTCTTCTAATGCAGCCACTATACAATTCTGGACAGTCCAATCTCTTCCTGAAAACCTCCAGTGATGGAACACACACAACTTCTGGAGGCAGGTAGTTCCGCTGGTTAACTATTCTATTAGGCAATTTCTCCTTAATTGTATGTGGGAGCTCTCAATGATAAGTTTCCATTAATGCTTCTTGTCCTGCCTTCAGGCCCTTTGGAGAATAGGTTGATCCCCCACTTTTCTGTGTCAGTCCCTCAGATATGGGAAGACTGCTATCATGTCACCTCTAGTCCTTCTCTTCGTTACATTAATAATAATAATAATAATAATAAATAATCATCAGCAGCAGCAGCAGCACCTGGGCAGTTCCAGTCATTAGATACACAGCTGGAATAGTGGACTGGACACAAGCAGAACTAAAAGCAATGGATAGGAAGACAGAAAAATAATGACAATGAATCATGCCCTTCATCCACGCAGTGACATTGACAGACTTTATCTACCAAGGCAAATAGGTGGGCATGGAATGCTACAAGTACATCAGATGGTTGAAGAAGAAAAAATGGCTTTGGAAGAATATCTGAAGAACAATGATGAAGATGCACTGAAATTAGTATATCAGGAAGGCTTACTGACTACTGGAGAGACCAAACTGGCCTACAAGAAAGACCAAATGAAGAACAGAATAGAGGCATGGGAAGACAAAGCACTACATGGCCAATACATGAAAAAAATAGCTGGGAAAGCAGATAATAATAAAACCTGGCAATGGCTAAGAGCAGGAAAATTGAAGAAAGAGACCGAGGGACTAATTCTGGCTGCACAAGACCAAGCCTTAAGGACAAATGCATATAAAGTCAAAATTGAGAAGACAGCAACAGACAGTAAGTGCCGCCTATGCAAAGAAGCTGAAGAAACAGTGGACCACTTGGTAAGCTGTTGCAAGAAGATTGCACAGACTGATTACAAGCAGCGGCATGACAAAGTAGCAACAATGGTGCATTGGAAGATCTGCAAAAAATATCATTTGCCTGTAAGCAAAAACTGGTGGGATCATAAAATAGAGAAAGTCATAGAAAATGATAAAATTAAACTGCTCTGGGACTTCAGAATTCAAACAGACAAGCACCTGCAACATAACACCCCAGACTTAACAATTGTCGATAAGAAAGACAAAAAAGTCTGGATAGTGGACGTGGCAGTGCCTGGAGACAGCAGAATAGACGAGAAAGAACTGGAGAAGATAACAAAATACAAAGACCTACAAATAGAAATAGAAAGACTGTGGCAAAAGCAAGCAAGGGTAGTACCAATAGTCATAGGCTCCTTGGGTGCAATCCAAAACAACTGGAGCACCACTTGAACACCATTGGCATTGACAAATTCGCTATTAGTCAATTGCAAAAGGCGGCCTTGCTAGGAACTGCTTCCATCCTGCGACAATACCTGTAATACCATCAAACATCCACATCTGCCTATCCCAGGTCCTGGGTAAGGACTCGATAGGTAGACAAAATGCCAAATCCAGTCTGAACATCTGGCTGACTGTGCGATGATCCATAATAGTAATAATAAAGTTGGAAGGGACCTTGGAGGTCATCAAGTCCAACCCCCTGCTCAGGCAGGAAACCCTACACCACTCCAGACAGATGGCTGTCCAATCCCTGCTTAAAAACCTCCAATGTTGGCACACCCACAGCTTGTGAAGGCAAGCCCTTCCACTGATTAATTGTTCTCATTGCCAGGAAAGTCCACCTTAATTCTTGATAGGATCCCTCCTTGAGAAGATGCCACCTGTTCCTTCTTGTCCTGCCTTCAGATTCTTTGGAGAATAGATTGACCCCCTCTTCTTTGGGGCAGCCCCTGAGAGATTGGCGCCCTGCATAGCATTCAGAATAGGTTTTAGCCTCCAGATTGCCCAATCGTCTTTAGAGTGGTAATGTAGTGTTTTATACAGAATACAGAAGAACAGAGCTGAAAGGGACTTTGGAGATCTTCTAGTCTGACCCTCTGCTCAAGCAAGAGACCCTATACCAGATGCATCATAGTGAAACCGCACCCACCCCATCGCCGACAACAGCAAAAAGTCACGACAGCTGTGCCCTATACTAGGGGTAGGCAACCCTGGCTCTTTTTTTTTTTTTATTATTAAAAATTTTATAAATTTTACAAAAAAGAAAAAGAAAACAAAACAATACAAAAGCAAAAAAACATATACAAAAAAGACTAAACAATAACATAACCTCCCTTTCCCCCCCCCAATCCCCCTCCCTTCCCCCCCCCCGAGCTTCCCAGAGCAGAATATAGGCTTAGTTAAAATAGAAACAATTAAAAAATTATATTCTAAAATACATATATATATATATATAAAAATAAAAGTTAAGAAAAAGCTATATAATATTTTTTTATATCCATTTTAAACTGTATAAATTTTATCCACTTATCCCAAACAGCAAGAAATTTCTCTTGCGTTTGTTGCTTTAAAAAAGCCGAAATCTTTGCCATTTCCGCCAAATAAGACACTTTAAGAAACCATTCCTGCAGTGTAGGCAAAGTTTCCTTCTTCCAGTATTGTCCAATTAACAGCCTCGCGGCTGTAATCAAATTTAACATCAGTATAACCTCCTTTGTATCACAATCAATAACTATACCCAACAAAAATAAATGCGGAGTAAATTTTACCCTTCTTTTAAAAATTCTCTGAATATTCCACCATATCTTAATCCAAACCCTGGCTCTTTTATGACTCGTGGACTTCAACTCCCAGAATTCCTGGGCTCACATGGGAGAACTATGGCCTTTTCATGACTTGTGGACTTCAACGCCCAGAATTCCTGAGCCAGCATGGCTCAGCTTGGAAACCTCTCCATTTCCCCTCAGTGTGGCTGGCTCAGGAATTCTGGGAGTTGAAGTCCACAAGTCATGAGGGGGGCATAGTTCCCCATGTTGACTCAGGAATTCTGGGAGTTGGTCCACCAGTCATAAAAGAGCCAAGGTTGCCTACCCCTGGCCTAGTCCATTGTTTCTCCACCTCAGCAACTTTAAGACATGTGGACTTCAACTCCCAGAATTCCCGAGCCAGCCATGCTGAGGGGAAAGGGAGAGATTTCCAAGCTGAGCCAGGCTGGCTCAGGAATTCTGGGAGTTGAAGTCCACCAGTCATAAAAGAGCCTACCCCTGCCCTAGACCAGTCTGGATGAAAAGCTGTCCAGTCTCTTCTTAAAAACGTCCAGTGAGCCTAGGGTTTTTGTTTGGTTTGGTTTGGTTTGGTTTGGTTTGGTTTGGTTTGGTTTGGTTCTTATCAAATTATCACCGTGCTCAGAATTCAAAAATATTTGTCTAGGAGGTTCTCCATGGCCTTTCCTTTATCAGGGACTTATTCTATTCCGATGCAAAGAAGGGTACATTGTGTTTCCAACGCCTTGGGGGAATATTCAGATGAAAGGAGCTGGCTTTGAATGGTTGCTAGAATTGGGTATGTCTAGTTTAACGAAGAGAAGGACAAGGGGGGACATGATAGCAGTATTCCAATATCTCAGGGGCTGCCATAAAGAAGAGGGAATTAAGCTATTTTCCAAAGCACCTGAAGGCAGGACAAGAAGCAACGGGTGGAAACTCATCAAGGAGAGAAGCAACCTAGAACTAAGGAGAAACTTCCTGACAGTGAGAACAATTAATCAGTGGAACAGCTTGCCTCCAGAAGCAGTAAATGCTCCAACACTGGAAGTTTTTAAGAAGAGACTGGACAGCCATTTGTCCGAAATGGTGTAGGGTTTCCTGCCCGAGGAGGGGGTTGGACTAGATGACCTCCAAGGTCCCTTCCAACTTTACTACTATTATTATTATTATTTTACTGATCTCTCCAGGCCCCAAACCAGCACAATTAGAGGCTCTGAAGAACAATCTAAATGACATTGTCTTTCTGAATGGGTAGACTAAATAACATTTAGATACACTCCAGAAATCTTACAATGCCGTCCAAAGGGCTCCTGCTGATTTTATCACTGGGTTATGGAAGGTATATAAAGCGGTGGGTAAACAATACTTTCTCTAGATTGAGAAAAAAAAATCGACTCTTAAGACCAGCTGGGAAAGGAGATAAGAAAAGGGGGGTTTGAGGAAAGTGGGGTACAAGGAGCAGCAGACCCAGAACGAAGCAGGAGGGCAATTGTAACCCACCCCTCCCAATTGTCTCCCATTTACTTCTCCGCAAAGATTTGAATTGGGCAAGAGAGAAAATGGAATTGGCTTTATCTGCAGAGGCCGGAAACCAAAGATCCTGAAAACAAAAGAATGGCAGAATGGGAAGGGACCTTGGAGATTGTGGGAGAGGAAAATGTAGCCCCCTCCTCATATAACGCGATGGGGCTGGAGCAAAACCCGAGCTAGGCCCCACAGTAGTGATTTAAAACAAAAGCTTTAACTGGAACTCTATATTGTTTCACAACACGGACGTGTC